TATGAAGTTTACGCTTACTGCGCTTCATGTGACTGATGCCAAGTCACTTTCTGATTGTTTGGTTGTCGAAAACACTGACTGAGAAGAGAGCCACAATGAATATTCGAGCCGTACGACAAGTCCTAGCACCTTCTCAGATTCACTGGGTTCCAACAGGCCTTGTGATCGCCCGTTGCGCTGACCAAACATGATGTGAAACTGCAGAATAGCCTCCGAATGTGGTGCAGTCTTCCAATTGTCCAACTCCGAGAAGAGAAGAACCGCAAGCAAAGTCATGACTTCAGCCAGAAAACAAAGACCAGTGAAAAACACTGACTTTCAGACAGCATATCGTAGCGATTGCACCGTCTTGGTTGGGTCATGCACGCATGTTTTTGCAGTTGATGTATCGCGAGGTCAACCATTCTACTGGAAAGCACACCTAGGTGGTGACTGCAATAGTTTGAACCTGCATGTGCAATGATAGCATCGATTGTCCTTTTGGCGCAAATTCCAATTCCAAGGGCGGCCGAATGAGCCAATCTTTGCAAAGCAATGGACAAAAAACAGCTGCATCTCCATTTGCGTCATTGGTCAGCACGCCTTGTGATTTGATTCAAACAACAGTTGCCAACGCAAACAATTTGCTGTGAGTTTCACACGTGTAGAATTTTTATAGAGGATACATCAATGTTTTCCTAATCCATTCCCAAGATGAAAAGAAGATCGCCACCCCTGGGAAACAAGTTTTGGTCAGGCTACCATTCGTGGAGAATCAACAAAATATCCCACATGATATTGTTATTCTTGGAAGAACAATCAAAAAAATTGATTCATATGAATGCGAATCACGCAGATTTTACCTAGACATCAGAGCCAGAATGGGAAGATAAAAACATGCTAGCTTGGCTTATCAAGATTGGACATCACTGTAGTCTGAATTTTTTCATGAAACCTAGTAGATCGATCCAACTGTCAGGTACTTGGTTCCAGTCATGATTTAAGTGTAGAGATGGTGGTTTCAAACAATTGTTTCACTTCATTTTTTTCAATGTTTTTCCAATCCACCCACTACCAATTGACATGCAAAGACCATCTGAACATCGCAGCTTTGGGCACCAGAAACCACGTGCAGCGACACCAGAAAATGTCTGGGGAAGCGCGGTAGTTTTTTGGAACGTTTCCCAGGGTGATCGTTGCGGGGCACACCAATGAAACTGAGTCAAGTTCTTTCCGGCTTGGAGATGCTATGAAGTGGTTTCGACTTGCCATCGCCCCATTGGGGCTGCATCGAAATTCATACAGGATTTTGAAGTTTCAGTTCCCGATTCTCACGGTGATAACCACATATAACCACTGCAAATTTCCCAGAATTGGTTGAAGAGAACATATATAGAGGAAATCATAGGAAATCGCCTCGACAAAGTTTGGGTAAAATCCCTGGTTTCCGGGTTTCCGGTTTGAAATTTCCTACCAATCCATTGAAAAATATGGGCACTCAATGCCCCAAGGTCCATAGGCACAACTCTTTGGCCCCGGCTTCGCATTTTTTTCGCGCGGCTGTGGCTATGGCAGGGGGACCCTGGGAGATGACACCTCACAACGTTGCTAGGTCTCTGCCAAATGTCAGGAACTTTTCATTTTCCCTCTTGTATTTGAATCATTTGAAACTGGTTGGTGGTTTGGAACATTTTGCATTTTTTCCATATATTGGGAATAATAATCCCAACAGACTTTCATATTTTTCAGAGGGGTAGGCTCAACCACCAACCAGTAAATCAATTTATCGTGATCGGTCGGTAGTTCTTGAAGTACTCAGGTTTTCTTTTGGTCATTTCGGGGTGTGGGATCCATCGTATACAGTAGGAGAAGTGCAACTAGTGACATGGGTTTCATCCCAACTGACGAAGTCCATCATTTTTCAGAGGGGTAGGTGGCTCACACTGCACAATCCACACAGAACAACCTTAGCACTGGAAACATTCAAAAATCTAACTCCCTTCCATAGTCCGAAGAACTTTAGGTTCAATGGTGGATTGTCACTTTTGGGGGTGTTATCCGGGACTTTCAGGTTTTCGGATAGAGGTCATCATCAAAACCCTCAGATGGTAGCTCGCGATACAGCCAACATCCGCACGGATAGAAACAACCGCCATTAAACCAGCAACATCCGTGGTAAATCAGGGATGGTTTTCGGGTTTTGCCTATATAGTAAACTCGAGAGCGCGACTGTCATGTCGCACGCACTTGCCTCAATCTGTTGTACAAACTATTCCAGGAAAATCAACCACTTGATGATGTATGCAATATGACAATTCCAATGAAATTCCAATGACATAACATGTTTTTTTGGAGAAAACTGCAGACAAACCTCCATGCATGGAACCCCGCTAGCCACGTTTTGTAGCTAGGCTTGTTTTTTTTCGTGTTGGTGTTGTTGATGTTTCGGATGATATCGTATGTACTGTCAATACACGCATAAAAGAGACAGATACCCTCTGGTAATCACACATGGCAATGAAAAATCCACCATTTATAGATGATTTCCCCATTGAAAGCTATATCCATCTATATTCCCATTAAATATCATTAAATCACCATATTAATAATACTGTGTACACATACATATTCAGTTTCAATGTCTTTATATAGCCTCCTTCCCAGCATGGTGCTAGGATCCCGCCTTGATCTGTCGGTGAAGATTTACCATCTGGTGATGACCAACGTAGCGAACTGGAAAATCACCATTTTTCATAGGTAAATCATCAAACAAACATCTATTTCTATGGGCTATTTTCCATGGCTATGTTAAATAACCAGACCCTCCAGGTCAAAGACCTCGTAAAACTTGGCCTTTTAACTTTGCTGAAAAGGACCTACTATTACTTGATGAGGACCTACTATTGCTTGGACCTTTTGGGTCCAAAGTTAAGATGATGGCCATGGATGTCCAACAGTAATATATAAGATGCATAAACCCATAATTGTTGACCTAAATTTCAGGATAGCCACATCCCTTCACCGACCAAATATCCAATTTGCGGTTTATCATAGGGTACCCCACACTATTTTATCATTGGGAGTCCAGGGCTGGAACCACCACAAACGTATGGTTTTTGAATTATCAGGGGCCCAGAATCGCTAGCGTGAACCGAGCGTGAACCGAGCGTGAACCGGACCAACTATGACCGGCAAAAGACCAACTATGACTGGCAAAAGACCAACTATGACCGTGAACCGAGCGTGAACCGAGCGTGAAACCCTAGGAACCATTTTTTCAGTGTGGAAATTTCTGCCAAACATATAATTTCTTGAGGGGAAACGCCACGAATTTGCTTTGCATATGCTCCGGAATGTCAGCCTTAGTGGCTGTTCATTGCAACTTGGAAAGGCCCATTCGGGGCTATGATCTGTAGGTGATTGAATGCTTCCCAATCATGCATCAACAGTTTCAAATGGGGTTCAAGTCAAATTCAGCATTGATGGGAAAAAGGGCTGAGCTCTATAAAACCAAGTAAACCAGAGGACCTCGTAAAACTTGGTCTTTTGCAAAAGACCTCGTAAAACTTGACCTTCCGACTTGCAGGGAGAGGGTATATATTTTTTTGAGGGTGTCTAAGATTGGCCAAGATCAGTATGAATATTCCCAGTATCTGGCCATGAGGTCCCGCCTGCAGATGGTACGCTCCACAGGGGATCGGTGGATTGGGAAAGCCAGGTGCAATGGGGACAGAACTGATGTGTCCAACCCAACTGCTGGATGGTGAATGGACTTTTGATGGGGAGTATACTCCCATCAAGGAGCTGTCGCAATCAGTTGTGAAATCTCTGTGAGTAAGCCTTGTTTGGAGGTTTCTACACACCTTTGACTCAGCCTTTGACTGAAAAGAGACATGCCTAGTGGATGAAAGACATACGGATTCACTTTTGATGGAACATCTTAATCAATAGAAGATGGATCAACATGGCCCATTTGTAGATGATTTATACCTGTAAAAACATTCTGATATTCTATAGCAAACTGGTTAAATTACCAGAGGATATCCCATGAATTCCTCCATTTTAAGCACCATTTTAATCCCCATCCCATTCAATCCCTATGAAATTTCATCAATTCCCATTTTTCTCCCTATGAAATTGCATCAATGCCCATTTTTCTCCCTATGAATTTTCATCAATTCCCATTTTTCTCCCTATGAAATTTCATCATTTCCCATTTTTCTCCATATGAAATATCATCAATTCCCATTTTTCTACCTATGAAATTTTACTAATTGCCATTCAATCCCTATGAATTTTCATCAATTCCCATTTTTCTTCCTATGAAATTTCATCATTTCCCATTTTTCTTCATATGAAATTTCCTTAATTCCCATTTTTATCCCTATGAAATTTCATCAATTACCATTTGTCTTCCTACGGGATTTCATTAATTCCCATTTTTCTCCATATGAAATTTCATTAATTCCAATTTTTCTTCCTATAACATTTCATCAATTTCCATTTTTCTCCCTATGAAATTTCATCATTTCCCATTTTTCTCCCTATGAAAAAACATCATTTCACATGTTTTTCCCTATGAAATTTCATCAATTCCCATTTTTCTTCCTATGAAATTTCATCATTTCCCATTTTTCTTCATATGAATTTTCCTTAATTCCCATTTTTCTCCCTATGAAATTTCATCATTTCCCATTTTTCTCCCTATGAAATTTTGTCAATTCCCATTTTTATCCCCATGAAATCTCATCAATTCCCATTTTTCTCCATATGAAGTTTCATCAATTCCAATTTTTCTTCCTATAACATTTCTTCAATTTCCATTTTTCTCCCTATGAAATTTCATCATTTCCCATTTTTCTCCCTATGAATTTTTATCAATTCCCATTTTTCTCCCTATGAAATTTCATCATTTCATATCATTTCCCATTTTTCTCCCTATGAAATTTCATCAATTCCCATTTTTCTCCATATGAAATATCATCCATTCCATTTTGCTCTCATTTTTCTCCCTACAAAATATCATCAATTCCCATTTTTCTTCCTATGAAATTTCATCATTTCCCATTTTTCTCCCTATGAATTTTCATTAATTTCAATGTTTCTCCCTATGAAATTTCATCAATTCCCATTTTTCTCCCTATGAAATTTCATCAATTCCCATTTTTCTCCCTATAAAATTTCATCATTTCCCATTTTTCTCCCTATAAATTATCATCAATTACAATTTTTCTCCCTATGAATTTTCATCAATTCCCATTTTCCTTCCTATGAAATTTCATCATTTCCCATTTGCCTTCATATGAAATTTCCTTAATTCCCATTTTTATCCCTATGAAATTTCATCATTTCCCATTTGTCTTCCTACGGAATTTCATTAATTCCCATTTTTCTCCATATGAAATTTCATTAATTCCAATTTTTCTTCCTATAACATTTCATCAATTTCCATTTTTCTCCCTATGAAATTTCATCATTTCCCATTTTTCTCCGTATGAAATTTCATCAATTCTCATTTTTCTCTCTATGAATTTTCATCAATTCCCATTTTTCTCCCTATGACATTTCATCATTTCCCATTTTTCTCCCTATGAAATTTCATCATTTCCCATTTTTCTCCCTATGAATTTTTATCAATTCCCATTTTTCTCCCTATGAAATTTCATCATTTCATATCATTTCCCATTTTTCTCCCTATGAAATTTCATCAATTCCCATTTTTCTCCATATGAAATATCATCCATTCCATTTTGCTCTCATTTTTCTCCCTACAAAATATCATCAATTCCCATTTTTCTTCCTATGAAATTTCATCATTTCCCATTTTTCTCCCTATGAATTTTCATTAATTTCAATGTTTCTCCCTATGAAATTTCATCAATTCCCATTTTTCTCCCTATGAAATTTCATCAATTCCTATTTTTCTCTCTATGAAATTTCATCAATTCACATTTTTCTCCCTATGACATTTCATCATTTCCCATTTTTCTCCCTATGAGTTTTCATCAATTCCCATTTTTCTCCCGATCAAATTACATTAATTCCCATTTTTCTACCTATGAAATTTCATTAATTCCCATTCAATCCCGAAGAAATTTCATTAATTCCCATTTTTCTGCCTATGAAATTAATTTCATTAATTCCCATTTTTCTCCATATGACATTTCATCAATTCCCATTTTTCTCCCTATGAATTTTCATCGATTCCCATTTTTCTCCCTATGAAATTTCATTAATTCCCATTTTTCTCCCTATGAAATTTCATCATTTCCCATTTTTCTCCCTATGAAATTTCATCATTTCACATGTTTTTCCCTATGAAATTTCATCAATTCCCATTTTTCTTCCTATGAAATTTCATCATTTCCCATTTTTCTTCATATGAATTTTCCTTAATTCCCATTTGTATCCCTATGAATTTTCATCAATTCCCATTTTTCTCCCTATGAAATTTCATCAATTCCCATTTTTCTCCATATGAAATTTCATTAATTCCAATTTCTCTTCCTATAACATTTCATAAATTCCCATTTTTCTACCTATGAAATTTTATTAATTCCCATTCATTTCCTATGAAATTTTATTGATTACCATTTATCGCCCTATGAAATTTCATCATTTCATATTTTTCTCCCTATGAAATTTTATCAATTCCCATTTTTCTCCCTATGAAATTTCATCAATTCCCATTTTTCTCCATATGAATTTTCATTAATTCCCATTTTTCTCCTTATGACATTTCATCAATTCCCATTCAATTCCTATGAAATTTCATCATTTCCCATTTTTCTCCCTATGAAATTTTATCAATTCCCATTTTTCTCCCTATGAAATTTCATCATTTCCCATTTTTCTCCCTATCAAATTACATTAATTCCCATTTTTCTCCCTATGAAATTTCATTAATTCCCATACAATCCCTATGAAATTTCATTGATTCCCATTTTCCTGCCTAGGAAATTTCATTAATTCCCATTTTCTTCCTATGAAATTTCATCAATTCCCATTTGCTAGGAAATTTTATTAATTCCCATTTTTCTCCCTATGAAATTTCATTAATTTCCATTTTTCTCCCCATGAAATTTCATTAATTCCCATTTTTCTCCCTATGAAATTTCATTAAGTTCCATTTTTCTCCCTATGAAATTTGAATGATTCCCATTTTCTCCCATTTTTCCCCCAAAAATTGCTGGAAAATGGCCGAGGCAGCCTGGACGATGGCCTGGTTTCAGCCCTTACAGCTCTGACCGAGTCAACATGTCCCAGTGGGGAAATGAGTCGAAGATTGTGGGCTCCCCTCGAAAAATGCAAGGGAGAATCCGTTGAGATCAAGATGTAGAAATAGCTGTTCAAACTTATGAAAATCATAATTATGTGGATGATGATTAATGATAACCCATAGTTATCATAGTATTATTATATAAGATATATAAGATAAGATATGTGATTATCAATGATAATTATGGCTTATATGAACCACTACAATTGTGGTGGTTTCATAGAGTGTTAATGATAATACGGTGGATGGGCCAGCGAAATCGTGCACCAGTTTTTCTAGGTCAGTGGTAGACATCCCATTGTTTTTGTTGGGTTAAAGAAACCATCCAGTTGGTGATGTAGAGATCTTCGCTGGCCCATCTACAGGGGATAATATGAATGGGATAATATAGGAACATAGAATAGAATAGATTAGATTATCCCTAATATCCCATTAGTAATATCCCATTAGGGCCTTAGGGATAATATTAGGGATATAATAGAATAGAATGGGATTTTTTACTGGATATGTGTCTGCTAAAAAAAAACGTGGCAACGGAAAATCCCATATAAATATGGAGGTTTCTTGCTGGGAGTGGAAAATCATCCATTTTTCTGGGGAGTTTCCAGCCACTTTTGATGGAACAAAGAGGGTCATCCCGGTCATACCCAAAAAGATTGAGAACAGGTGGTACTATCACCACTTCTTTTCAGAGGTTGTACTTTCTACCCATTCTTTTTGTGGTTGCTATCCTATCCATTCACATCAATATTTGACTAGGATACATAAGCACCAATAGAAATGGGAACATAAGCAACAAAAACGCGGGATGAAATGTCCAACAATGGGTCCGATTCCTACAGCAACAAGTGGGATTCACAAGTGTGGATGGGTCAATAAATTGAGGTCCCTGAACACACTCAAATGAACATTCATACCCTCTGGTAAACTAACATAGCTATTGAAAATAGCCATGTTATAGTTGATTTACCCATTGAAAATAGTGATTTCTATAGCTATGTTTGTTTACCAGAGGGTAAGTTTTCAGTCTTGACCATTCCATTTTGGCTGGGCCCTACATATGACGCATATGTTGGTTGGATCAGTCGATCACCACCAGAAACCAGGCCAAATAGTCGGGGATTTACACCATGATGCGGGACCACTTTTGGGATTAGATCGAATAGATCCAATGCCTCTGGTTGTCTAACATGATGATTTATGATGATATTTATAATGGTCATTTCCTATAGCTACGTTAAACTACCAGATGATACGAATACCTCCGGGCTTTCGTTTGGCAATCTGCAAGTTTGAGGGAGCCTCGACGAGCTGCTCAACAGCTCCCTCTGGATTGAGGTACTTGTAATATCAGTACTTTGATCTTTGTATATCTATCTGTATATCATATATTGTTGATGTATATTATAATACACATAGATCATATATCAGTATCTATCGTTGTCTATCGTTGTCTATCGTTGTCTATCGTTGTCTATCGTTGTCTATCGTTGTCTATCGTTGTCTATCGTTGTCTATTTTCTATCTAATCTAATCTTAATCTTAATCTTAATCTAATCTAATCTATCTATACGTGCATGTAATATACAAAATACCTATTTCAAAAGCTTGTAGAATGAAAATCTATCCGCGCATGGCTCCTGCACTTAGGTGTGCCCAAGGACTCCGGAGTGAGTGAGGGACCCAAGGATGACGACACGGACCTCCGATGGCAATCGATGTGGGTTGCAGTAGCAGTGTACCAGCCATCCATCCATCATTTCCATACCATTTGGGGGTTTCCAGGGTCATTGGGGGATCCCCAAAATGCTTGGTTTACAGTGGAAAATCCTATGAAAATTGGTGATTTAGGGGTACCGCCATTTTCGGAAAACTCCATTTAGCTGAAATCTAGAAACCAATTGCTCAGCGCTGGGTTTTTCGCGGTCTCGGAAGCTGATACTTTTGAATAGCTTCTCGGGGCCAGATGTGTGTGAAAACCATGAGGACAACTCCAAAGGAGAACGAATGGGGATGTACAAATAACCATCTGAATATGATACCCTCTGGTTATTTAACATAGCCATGGAAAATCACCATTTTTAATAGGTAAACCATCTATAAATGGGCCATGGCTTCCATGGCTATGTTAAATAACCAGAGGGTACCTCAAAGCGGAATGCCGACACCATTTTTCATCATGAGAAAATAACGCCCAATTTTAGGGGCTCGCCAACTTACAACCCAAGAATAGCTAGCTGTCAGATCTTCGTCACTTTCCGAATAGCACCTGATAACAGACTCCCTTTGATTGGTTTGAAGAATGTGTTTAAAGAACGAAATGGGATGATAATCCCAATGCTCTCTGTGGGGATGGCTCAATCACCAGCCAGTAGTATATCATGTATTTTTTTCCATTGTGGTCAGCTACTTGTATACACAATATGGGACAAACATCACCATTTTTCGGAGACAAATCCGTCAATTCTGCAGATAAATACATACAAAATCACACAATATCGCACAAAATAAATGCAAAATACATGCACAATACATACCAGAGCCACCGGTTTGTGGTGACACCTCCACCGCCATCTCTGATCACCTCGCATGTTCTGGGCTGTTTTCCGGGGGTTTTTGGAGGCCTTTGAAGAGCGAGGTGGGGCGTCAAACTCGGCATCTGCTTCAACAGATCGAAGGCAGAAGGGACCTGGGGTTTCCAAAGTCACGGGTACCCCTTTATTGCTCGCTGGATGGTTTATTTCATGGAAAATCACCAGCCAAAAAAGGATGATGGCTGGGGGTACCCCTGTTTTAGGAAATCCCAAAAAAACTCTGGCCATATCTCGTCAATACACCGAGAGTGGCCAGGTCGTGTTTCCTGGGTCTCACTTGCGTGCGTCAGGTACTTGTAAGGCTGTTGTTGGGGCCTCAGCCGCTGCCAGACTTCGAAGAAACCTCAAGAAAATCTAAAGTCCAAAAGGTTGGGCGGCTTCGAGAATTCGTTACCAGTGGATTTTGAACGACATGGCAAGGGCTCACAAACGTTCATAAACTACGCCCTGTGACACTGCATTGATATACATTGATCATCTTTGGTTCACATAGCGTCAAAGGCTTCCTAATCCAGCTGAGTCACTTTGTTAAAGGCGCCCTCTCCCTTTCTCAAGGGGGCCCAAAATGGCGATTCCATGAGGATTCCTACAAAATTGCTAGGTAGCTTTAGCATGTATATAGCAATCTTTAGATATCTGAAGTGTGATCAATCAGCAATGTCTGGTCAAAGAAATGCACCAAGACCATCCAAGATCCACTGTAGATCATGTCTGCAGATTCTCGGCAGCTCCAGAGATAACTTTCCAGCTTGACTTGCCAATTTCTTACCCATACTGTGGATGGTATTGGATGGTCATCCGCCAGTTCATAAGGCCAATTTTCTACCGTTTTGTTTGGCTTCCCTATTGACGCTTGGATGACCAGGGCCCCATTCATCCCACGTAACTTGACCATAGCACATCTAGGAATTGCAATAATTCTTTAAGATTCCCGCTCTCAACTAAGCGGTGTTCCAGCACTCCAGACTAGGACAAACTATCCAAGCAATCCAAGTGAATCCTCTTCCAAACCTCTTTTCTCACCTTTTTCTGTATATCAAAAATTGTATACACCCAAAATTGGATGGTAAATTCTTGCTACCCTCCGGTTTTCCAACATAGCTATGGAACATGACATGATGATTTGCCGTTTTTATCCAATGTGAGCAGTGGCTGCAAGACACCCCCCTTCCGTGGATGATTAGTTCGGGGATTTTTAGAAAAGCTCACCCAGATTCATTGGGAAATCAAAACGTAGTTTTTTACCCTGCTTCCTTACAACAACCATAGAAAATGGGGATGGTTGGTATGTTGGTATCGCCATAGAAATGCCATTAAAAAAATGGCGAAAATCCTTGGTGACTGCCCTGGTTTTTTGAGGTGACCGTCCTGGTGGACTCGTTGAGAGAACCCAACCCGGATGCAGTGGCCTTTGACCAGCCGCTTGGGATGACTTGGGATGATGGGATGATGGGCTGGATCGGTGCTGATAAAAAAATTGGCGCTTAAGACACATATCATGTATATATATATATAATATGTATAATATGTATATCTATGGCAAGTATCTCTGATCACTGTCCTTTGATTCCTCTCAAGTGCATAACAGGTGCATGCTCTGGGTTGACCGACTGCTCACGGGTGCTGGCCTGCTTTCGGACCTGTCCTGGGGGTTTGCTTGTCCCTTTCATTGCGGTGCCTCAGGGATCCCCCTTCTCATTTGTGGGCTTTGCATTGGACTTCTGGGGGGATTTGGACTTTCCCTGTGGGTGCTGTTTGGCTTCTCTTCGAGGCCTTCTCAGCCCATCCCTTCGAGTCCTGCACCAGCTTCTTCTGTTGCCTCTCAGGTTTTCCCGACCTCCAGGGTTAGAAATAGACTGAGAGGTTACCTGGACTTTGATGAGTAGCGGCTTAGCCGCAAGGCTGAGGGAATTGTCCAAAGAAGCTGACAGGTTGCAAGTGGCGGCAGTTGAGCTGGCGGAAAACATCTCTGAGCTTTGCAATCCTGGGTCATTTGGTGATTGGGTCCTGGTTGACGACGCATTTGATCCGCTCTCTCCGGAGGATTTTGCGGCGGTCAGAGCTTTGTTGGTTCACCACGGCCTCGAGGACGGGTTTCCTCCTATTCCCGAAGAGCTTGTTAGGATTGCTGCACGCGCTCTTTCAGGCAGTCCCCAGGAAGTGGTTCAGAAGGCTCAATCGGCCTTTAGAGCAGGTTTCCTAGCTCACATTGCCCTGGCTACGTCGACTCCTTTCCTCAAAAACGAACAGGAGAGTGAAGCTGGGCATTGCCATTGGGTTGTTTTCTACAGGCACACCCCGTCCATCAACAGAAGGGTGACGAGTTTGGCCTGCAAGGACGTGGCTATTACGGTCGAGGATTGTGTTTGGCAGGGATTTGATTCCTTGACGGAGCTCTCCATTTTCTGTGCAGGGGCATCCGTGAGAGTGCCGCGGCTGGAGAAATGGATAAGTCCCTTTTGAAGTTTGCACGTGATGGCGACCCTTCGCTGCTAGTGTGGAGAGTTCCAACCACGCTGACTGATGGTGGGGTCGCAGGCATCCAAGCTTTTGCATTGCCATTACTTTCAAGGGCCTCATCCGATGTTTTGTTGGATGCTATGTTGAAGGAGGAGCCGGACATCATTGGCCCCTCAAAGGAATTCACAGCACAGCTTATGGTGGAGGAGGAGATAGGCAGTGGCGTTGTTGATCTCCCCTCCACTGCCAATTTTGTGGTCGTTGACCTTGTCGATTCTGTTTTGATGGAGATGCGTGAATATGACATTGTTACAGACTCCACTGAGCCTATTGTGCCGTTTGCTGACAGCGAGCCCAATGCTCTGCCTAAGATCATTCCGCTTCTCCCAATGATTCAGGACTGGATCGAATCGGTTGCAAGTGAGCGGTTGGCTTTTTATTCAGCTCGAGAGGAGCAGGATGGCCCCACACTCCCTGCAACGAAAAAGGCTGCTGCAAAGAAAGCAGCCCGGACCACAATCGCCACTTTGGCTACTCAAATGGCAACCATGCAACAGCAGCTTCAGGCAGTTTTGGCTCAGCAAGACGTTTTGGCAAAGGGAGGTGGAGGTGTGGATGGTTTTGCAAGTCATGCTCCCGCTCTCTCAAATGGACCTATGGTCGCAACCATTCCAGCTTTGTCTTCTGGTCTTGGCCTTGGTACTGTACCCAAAGTAGCAGCCATGGCGATTGGCCCCCCTCCTCGAACCAAGGAGGTGCAACTGGGAAGTGTAGCAGATGCAGGACAGCCCGTGGCTCCTATTCAGCGTTCTTGTGCTGTTGGCGGAGAAGGGCAGATGTTCAGTGCCCTTTCTCAGCAAAGTGCCGCCCTGACACAGCTGGTGGCTCACCTGGCAGGAGGCGATCCTATGTCGGACTTGGCCGGACATTCAGCAACAATAGGCCTTGGCTTGAATACCAAGGGCGTAGCAAGGCGAGAGAGGATGCAGAGCGATTTAGCTCAGCGCAGTTCCAACTATTTCCTTCAAGTCCAGCAACAACTCTTCAAGAGGATGAACCCCAGCAGAGCAGTACCCAAAAATGCAGCCGAGCTCAGTCAAGCTGGAGCCTCTATGACTGCTTATTTGGAACGGTATGGGGGCTTCAGACAGAACCGAGATGCAGGGTTGATCATGTGGATCCTAGCTCATGCCATGGATTCGGCATCCCAAGACGATTTCCATGGGACCAAGGAGTATTTGGCTTTGTTGGTGGCAGCTCTCGAACAGAGCACGCTGGATGGGGGATGGGGCGTAGCTTACGTCTTGTCTCTGATGGAGGAGCCGCCTCAACAGCTCTTCATGGAGCGCATGACCCCGGTCTCGGCGACAGGGAGGCCGTTCTCTCCTCTAGTCCCCCCCAGCTGGGCGGCCGTGGCACTGAGCTACTTGAAGGAGTTAGAGGTCCTCTCAACACGCAAGACCGAGATGAGGTCGACCTCGGTCCCAGCTCCAAAAGCCTCGCCTCAGCCCAGCGATCCCAGCCAGACTGCGAGTCCAAAACGAAAGCCGAGGTTTCCCAAGAAACCCCAAGCTGCTGCGGAGAGCCCGTGATGGGCTTGGATAGTGGTACGCCCATTGACAGCAATGAATTCAGTTTTTTGGGTTTTTTGCCTGGCGGTGGCGAAACAACATTGATACGTGATGAAGTTTCTGAACATCAAAACCCTCCAGGTCGCCCTGAGTTCAAAAATTTTACGAATTCAATCAAGGCTGGTTCTGTTTCTAGCTCTACGACAATGTCATATCCAAAGTGGTGTGCTTTGCTGGTTCCCTATGTGCTAAGATCCAGGACTCCGTTCTCAGCCTTTTTGCACAGATCCATTTGCTTGCTTCGGGGCCCGCTTGAGCGGCCTGCCTCGACACTGACCTTTTTCCCTGTGCCTGTCTTTGACCGAGACCAATTTCGCAGGAAGCCTTCAGGTTTGTCATCCCTCAAGAGGCGCAACTGTCACCTACATCGAGCCATCCACGTCATTTGTATGGCGCTGAATTTTTGGTTTTTTGGGGGTCGATGGGTTGCTGATGATGAACTGAAGAGGGAGCCCAACGCCGAGCACATCAACTTGTATGCAAGGCTTGCTTCTTTGATTAGGTCAGACGGCCTGGCTGAATCATTCAATTTGGCGAAGTCGGGTCGAAAACACCATGAATTACTTGCACGACTTTCTGAACTTAGCAATTTGCTGACTGTTCAGGGTGGAGCCTCATGTGGTTATGAGAAGGGTTTTGCTGGAGTTGATGTCCCTAAGGACAATTCCGCAGCGCCTGAGTTGACCCCATTTGTTGATTTGGATGCTTCCCGGCTGAGAATCTATGGTGGCGGCCATTGGGATGTTACAAGCCACTTGCATGATGAACTTGTGCTTGCATACCGGGAGCCCAGGAGCCTTCTTGCTGATCTGCCTCTGGGCGACCACCCCAAATGTCGCGACTCGCAGGAGGAAGTAGCCAAACTTGCTCATCTTTGGGATCAAGCAGGATTACTCAGGTTGTCTCGCTGCCAACGTCCTCTGGGATCTTTGGTAAAGGTCTTCAATTGTTACAAGAATGCGGAGATGGATCGCCAAATAGGCGACAGGAGAGGGCAGAACTCTTTGGAGTGTAGAATTGCAGGCCCCAGCAGAGAGCTTCCCGCGGGTCCTGACATGATGGATCTACAAGTTGATGTGAACAGTCAGAAAGTTGTGGTGATCATTACCGACCGCAAAGACTACTACCATCAACTTTGGGTTTCTCCTGCACGGGCATCAACCAATGCCGTTGGTCCTTCAATACATGCTGATTTGGTAAAAGACACTGGAGCTTATTCGGCTTTCTGTTTGCAATCCTCTATGCAGAAGAAGCTTGGACGCGAAAGGAATGGTGATGCTCTCCACAACTTCACTCTCCACCCTGGGGAGTCTCCAGAGGCTGAATTTTTACCTCAGGATCATGTCTGGACTTGCTTTGGTTCAGTTTTGCAAGGAGATCATGCGGGGGTCGAAATTGCAACTTCTGCTCATGAACACTGGCTTAGAAAATATGGTCTGCTAGATGAAACTAGCAGACTGGTTGCGTCTCGCTGCTTGAGGTCTGATAATCTCTTGCAAGGTCTGGTGATTGATGACTACTTTGCTGCAAGTGTGGAAGACAGGAAAACAGACAATTCTGCAAGTAGAGCCGCAGCATGTTACAATACAAGCCAGTTTGCATATGAGGCGGCAGACCTTCTGGGATCTCCAGCAAAAGACGTTGTGGGTGAAAACGAGGGCAAGCTTGTGGGGGCTTACATCAATTCTAGTGAAAGAGCTCTAAATAGAAAACTCTGCACTGTTGGAGCTCCCGCTGCTAAGCGAATTGCCCTGTCCTTCATTACATTGGCACTATGCAGCTTGGGTTGCACAACGGATGTTTTACATCTTTGCCTTGTTGGAGGTTGGGTTTCTATCCTTGCTTTTCGCAGACCTATGATGTCAATATTAGCCAACTGCTATCACCTAGTTGACCAGAATACGGTTGATGCAAATTCTCCTAAGTTGGTGAACCTGCCGAGATGCGTGGCAAATGAACTGGTCATTTTAGCATGCCTTGTCCCCTTGGCCATCTCAGACCTGGGTGCCGAATATTTTCCTGCGTTGTTTGCAACTGATGCATCCTCTTTCAAGGGGGCGATATGTTGGGCCCCGCAGGAGCCTAGGGTTCTTCGGACCATTTGGAAGAGCTGTCGTTCCAAGGGAAGCTATACCAGGCTGCTTTCTCCAGCTGAGCAGGTTCTGCGAAACAACGGGCTTTTTGATGAGGAGAAGTTGCAAGGAAGGAGGATTTTAGGGCCTGACCGCCCTCTTGCCTATGAGTTTGACTTCATTGAGGTTTTTTCTGGTGCAAGTTTGGTGACAGCGGCCATTGCTGCAAAAGGGTGGAGTGTTGGACCACCCTTGGACATTGGCATCTCACGAGAGTATGATCTTTCATCGGTCTATATTTGTGAGTGGCTCACCTTCCTCCTTGCTGAAAAGAGACTCAAAGGCGTGATGGTTTCCCCTCCCTGTACAACTTTCTCTATTATGAGGCGTCCTAGGTTGCGCAGTCCTTTGAAGCCTTTTGGTTTTGACACTACGGATGAGCAAACCTTGATGGGCAACACCTTGGGGCAAAGAGGAGCTCAAATCATGTACACAGCCGCTGCAAATGATGCTGCAGGTATTATGGAAACAACTTACAGCTCATACCTCAAATATTTGCCGGGGTGGCTCATTGTAAAATCGCTTCCAATGGCTGAGGAGGTCCGCTGTGATTCTTGCGCTTTTGGCTCTGAGCACTTGAAACCCTTCCGTTTCCTGGGGGTCAATGTTTCCCTGGTTCGGCTGGCGCAAAGGTGTAGCTGTAGTTGCAACCATGTGCGAATACAAGGTGTGCTTACAAAGGCTTCAGCTACTTATGTACCCAAGCTGGTAGAAGCCATTGCAGATTGTTTGCACTCTGCAATGCTGGAGGTTCACAGGAGGAGAGCGGAAGCTCTTGATGTTGACATTTCGGGTCTGGAAAACCAATTGGTCAATGAAGCTGCTCTGGCATCCAAGTGGGAAGTCTTGAAATCGTGGACCTTCAGAAAACAGAGCCATATAAATATCCTGGAAGAGGCTGCTGTTCTTCGCCTGGTTAATTTTTTGGCTACATATCGACGTCCTTTGAGGGCCTCGGCGTTGGTTGATAGCTTTGTAGTTCGAGGCGCTACCTCCAAAGGCCGCTCATCATCACGGGGGTTGTCAACTATACTGCGAAGGGTAGGAGCAACTTGTGTTGCAGCGGCTTTGTATTTGACTTTGCCATATGTCCCTACGCGTTTGAACCCAGCAGACGACCCTACACGTGACGCAGTTTTGAGACCTTCGTATGGGAGTTTGGATGTTGAAAGCTGGGATGATTTGGATTTGTTTCTTTTGTCCGAGCTGCCAAAAACCAAACGCTGGGCCTCTCTATGGATGAGGATGGTTTTACGTCTTATAGGACCCACTTGTTTGCATTTTTCAGATAGATCTGTCTTTAGACAAACAACCTTGACACGTAGTGAAGCCAAAGATCATGAGTTTGAGCAAAAAGGCTTTGATAGCTCGCTTGGCTTTCCGGGCGAAGGCCCTGCTTTGACCATTCGGCCTCAAATAGTTGGACCCCTTTCCAGGTTCTGCATTCTTTCATGTGGATTTCCATCATTTCTTGGACTTGCCCTTTGGACTCTCCTTCGCGCTCTTTTCTTCGTCCCGGCCACCTGGATTGCTGCTATGTTGAGGGGGGTGCTTTGCCTTTTCTCGGCTTGTCCTAGGGGGCTGTGGATTTCTGTGGGTCTGCTTGCTTGTGCTCCGGCCGCGCATGCCATGCCGATGTTTCCTCGAACTGCAGGTGAGCGATCGAAAGCAGCTATGAGGCAGAATAGACCTCCTGTGCCATCAGGGCGGCCTGTTCTACCTATCACCATGCAGCGTCGGAAGCAGCTGTTAGATGAGTTTTTCATCTGGGCAACAGAACAGGGTCTGGACATAGCCGCGATGTTCGAGGACCACCAGAGGCACATTGACGATCTTAATCTGGTTTTGGTGAAGTTTGGTCGTGCTTTGTACGAGCACGGCAAGTCCTATGGGAAATATGCTGAAACGCTAAACGCCATTACCTCGTGGAAGCCGGCAATAAGACGTATGTTGCAAGGGGCATGGGATTTTGGTTTTGCCTGGAACAGGCATGAGCCTAGTTTGCACCATGCAGCAATGCCTGGCCCCGTAGCCCTAGCAATCCTGACAACAAGTATGCTGTGGGGATGGACGCGTTTTGCTGGAGTTTTTGCTCTCATGTGGGCAGGCCTACTTAGGCCAGGAGAACTGCTATCTGCCAACAGGTCAGATCTCTTACTACCCAGCGACGGTGACAAAACACTTCCTTTTGGGCTTTTGGCGATACGTGACCCAAAAACTAGGTTTTCCAATGCGCGTCATCAGAGCGCTAAACTGGATATGGCAGACATGCTGAAGATCATCGAGCTGTTCCTGTCTCCCCTACAAAGTCACCAGAGGCTATGGCCTTACTCTGGAAGCACTCTGAGGAGCAGGTTTCATGCTATCCTACGAGCACTACAGCTTCCGCTGAATGCAGTCAACGGAGTTAGACCCCTTGAACTTGCATCGGTACGTGCAGGAGCGGCTACGTGGGTCATGCAGACAACAGAGAGTGGCGATTTGCTACAAAGAAGGGGCCGTTGGGCCAACCGTCGCATGATGGATATCTACGTACAAGAAGTAACTGCATTGGTGTACTTGAAACGAGTTCCTGAACAAACAAAGAATCATGTTCTGATGGTGGCGGACTCCTTTGTACAAGTGCTTACCAAGGCAGAGCTTTTTACACAAGCTCGTATCCCTCCGAGCTCTTGGTTTGTGTTATTTCGTGAGTAAAAGAGACGAATGAAGTCAACGGTGGAAGAAGTGGGAACGAAATAGGGTGGCATGGATGTGGAACTGGCCCTGTTGCTGCTACATAGAAGATGCCTTCAGGTGCCTCAAATGGATGCAACTATGGCCTGCACTTCCACACCCAGCTGTGAAACATACGCAGCAAGCATGGATGAAAAAGGGAGCTGTGTGAAGTGATGGCAAGTATCTCTGATCACTGTCCTTTGATTCCTCTCAAGTGCACCCACCACTGGATCCTGCGGCTCTCCCATCCCATTGCTCACGAAATAGGGTGGCATGGATGTGGAACTGGCCCTGTTGCTGCTACATAGAAGATGCCTTCAGGTGCCTCAAATGGATGCAACTATGGCCTGCACTTCCACACCCAGCTGTGAAACATACGCAGCAAGCATGGATGAAAAAGGGAGCTGTGTGAAGTGATATATATATATATCTATATATATACACATTATACACATGTAACACCTTTATCCATATCTTTTCTTATAAACTCATTTTGAATAAGATTGACATTTGAGTACTAGAAAAGGGGACTTAACCCACAGAAATGCAAGAAAAGGGATTTAAATGAAGCAAATAAACATGTAGTAGGTAGACCGACTGCTCAATGGTTGGTGGTTATAGTGTGATTTCGATTCGTTTTAATGAAGATGTTTTTGGTATCCCGCAGAGAGAGACATGGAAATGTGATGGAGATTGCCATGTCACAAGTTACGCAAGTGCATGGTGATCCCAGCAGGCGGTTAATATCTGGGAGAGAGTGGTAGAAACAACACCAAGCCAAACAACTCGTAGTTGATGGTGGTATGGCTTAGAGAAACTGGATTTGTGATTCACGGGTGATTGCGCAATCACCAAAAGAATCAGTATCAAGTAAGCAGCACCATATGAGGAAAGGGTAGAAGGTTTTGGGCATCAATTCGTCGTGTGCATGTAAGCTATTAAATCATGTATTTTCTCAACCACAAGATAAACGAAGTCAAGTTGGGTAGCCATGTCTAAATGCTGGAGCCAGGAATTGTAATTTGGAACCCCAAACAACCAGAAATAAGTAGTTCCCCAAACAGCTATTTGGTCTGAATGAAATCTTCACTACCATAATGTGGCTTTGTCCAAAAGGGGTATACTGCAAGATGGCAATGCTATGTAGCACAAGAATTGTGCGCAGGAACATGAGAAGACTCGATGCCGACTGCTGAAGGTGTGAGGCTCGAAAAAAAATCAATAGGAACCTGGTAGATCGGGGGTTGCGCCATGGTGGCATGACGTATCGAGCCTCCAGACTTTGGCCAGGGATTAACCAGGGCACGACTCGCCATCAACATCTCCAACATGATCCAAGCCGAGGAGTTGGAGGAACCTCAGTCATTAGCTCAGCCAACCTTCGGCGCCCGATGCTCAGCTCTCCGGGGCAAAAACAGAGCGAGGCTAGAGAATGCCCAGCACACACAAACACACGTACTGAGGAAACCTTTGTGCCAGGATCCTCTTTTCGAAGTGAAGTGAGTTGCACAGCTGTGACAGTCTGCAGCCTGCCAGCATTCCACATGCTGCGGCGTGAGCTGCGGAGTGAGGAGCTCACGTCCCAACTGATTCAGTCCATGATCATGAATCCTTGAGCCACGCACAGACACAGTCATGCCTGCTTTGCACTACCTCGGTTGTGGCAGCGGGCACCAGCACCTAGCGTTTTCCCTTGTCATGTCTGTTCTGCCTTGACGTGAGTCTAGCATGACTTTGCACGAGTGTCGTTTGAACCTTAGTTGCAACATCAGGCCTTTGACACTTGGGATCCTCACAGCGGCTTTGATCGCAGTTTTTCAAGGTTGATGTTTTCTTGTGCACACTCATTGATTTTCCTTTGAGGGCATAGCTGTCTTGACGTCGCCCAATCAGAAGAGAATGTGAATCAGCACTGGATGGACAAGTGTTTGGCAAATGCGATCTTTGTTACGGGTTGCAGGGTCATGGGGAAGTTCATGTCACCTTCATTGATGCTCCATTCACATATATTGAATCCAACGAGTCACCTGCCCGCCTAGGCTGTGCCCGGATCGTGGCCCTTTTACATCAGCCGCACGACATATCGATGCACCTGAACCACTGCGAAGAGCTCTTGGTGAACTCGCGTTCTCAGTAGATTGGGCTGTAGTTTCTCAAGCTGGAGCGGGGGGTGAGTGCACTCAGTTCATAGGCACACGATCCCTTCCTAATCAGACTTCCCAAATGGAAAAATCGGAGAATCTCCATCATTTAGACAGTCGATAGTTGAAAAGTGAGGGGCGTGCGCGAAGCGACAGACCCCCATCCAAACAGAACATCCTTTCAACGTAGAGCGGGCAGAAGCACACCATATGTAGCTGCGCCGCGCCGGCCCGAGAGAGCACACCATCGCGGATGAAAATATGACGCGCCGTGCACCATCGCAGAAGGGTCAACAGCAGTGTGGTAGAGTTGCCAGGGTCAACAGCAGATTTTGAGATTTCTGTGCAGTCACATCCGCGATTCATTGGTTTTTGTTGACTACGACTACGCCGCAGGAACACATGCCTGTCCATGTATGCAAGAATGCCACGACTGCACGCATATGTCTATGTGATCATCGCGCACCCGTGCCGCCTCCGCCAGGTATCGGCTCAATTGCCCTTCCGCCAAAATCGATGGCCGCACAACGCCAACCCGACATGGCCCAGTTCAAACACCTTGTCGAGGCAGCCAAGGCATGGGGAGCAGCGCAATGGCTGCCACTTTTGGTTGAAAGACACCTGACACACTCAGCAGGCTTCTTTTAGCATCGTTCACGTGTTCTAGCATGCCACAGCTCGGGATCTGGCCGAGTTATCACCACAGACACCACAGTCACACCGGTGCTGGCGTAGGCAGCCACATTTAGGGCTTTCCACTCAGCACCATGCCTCTTGACACTGCGGCAGCCGCGAAGGACCTCGCCAACACACTACACCAGAACTGGGTGGCATCCAGCCAGCAGGGCACACATGATCCAAAAGGGACATATACTTCAAGATGGCAATGTTCGTGGAAAGAATGATGTTGAGGGCACCCCATTTTCAGACAAACGGAAAAAACCTATTGTATCCTCAGTACACCCTACGCATTGTATATAGCCTGAGGACATCCCATTGGATGTCCAATCATTACGCGGTATGATCATAATTTGAGGATATAATGAGATATAATGAGATATAGGCACTGGCACAAGCTCTAGCTCGCTTTCTATCCGCTCGCTGACCGTTTCCCAGTCTTTTATGATGCATGTTTGGTTGAAACAACCTATTGAAGCTATTCCTATTGACTACCCTTTTTATTGAAGCAGTTTCCATTGAAGTCATGGAGGCATCGGAAACCCAGTACTTCGAGGTCATCTACTCTGTCTACATCGTGGCCCGATTCTTCTACACTTTTTGCTCCTGCCGTGTTTCCAGCGAAGTTCTCCAACTGCAACATTTTCTTCATTTTCAAGATTCTTCTTATTTTCACATTCACCTCCAAGCTCGAGACTATAGGGGAAGTCTTGCATTTCATCTCCTTCCTCTTCTGCTCCTTGGTTTTGCTGGAACGATATATTACTCGTCCTGGTTATGCTGTACTGATGGCGCCAGTGCAGGATCAACTTTCTCCTTCCTGGACTACTCTTTTGCGACCCGCTGCATGTGGACTATCGGATTTACTTCTTTTTCCGTGGCATCGACTCCTACTTCAAGACTTTGTTCCTATGCACATTCCACTCCATGCTCAAGACTATGGGTGAAGTCTTGCACATCATCTCCTACCACGCCTTCTCCTTTCTTGCCGGAACGTTATTTCTTCACCGTGAATGCCAGGGGCAACCACGGTCTTCTCTACAGGTCAAATCAATTCCATCAAGTACCAGCTAAAGCTCGCAGGGGTCGCCAGAGGCGTGCCGGGAGACCACGGTCAACAGAATTTCTTCTACTGAATACCTACTTTCTCTTCTTTTCAATTCAGCTCTCCAAAGTGAGACTAGTGGTCACGAACCCTGCTGTGCGTCACGGGCTGTTCTCCTTCAGATTGTATTCTCTCTTTTTCAATTTTCGCTCTGTTTTTTCGGTGGTTTGGGTTTCGCCTTGCCTATTCCACTGGGTCCCGTGTATAAGGTGCAAGTTAGCAGCATATCCCGAAGCTCAATGTATCCTTTTGGTTTCTTGGACACAATGTCCAAACCATCGGCTCCTATAGAAGACGGAGCACCCAGAGGACGCAGAGTCGCAAGTCGCAACTATCGAAAACATTCTTATTGAAGCAGCTCCTATTGAAACAATTCCGTTTGAAGTATTATTTGCCGTTTGTTTCGTTTTCTCCGCATGCTGGCGGAATGCTGCTGCAGACGTGTAGTTCAACATGAACTGCATAGCGCTTGGAAAAATATAGAATGAGATATGCTAAGGATCGCGAGTATGTATAACAGGATACAATGAGATATCCCAGAGTTTTCCAGTGTACCAAAAACGATTTCCGGAATTTATTGCTGGTTACAAAGCACTTTAAATGAACTAGAACATAGTAGTAATAATTTCAGATATCAGATATTCCATACTTCGGTTGTTTTTCTATTGTTTTCCAGTTGTTTAGCATTGTTTGCCAAATACTAATGGGGTATCCCATAGCTTTCTTTTTGGTGGGTTTCCATATATTTTCGCCCCATTGCGCAGAATCTGGGCGTTGCGAAACATCGGCAAGCAATGCGTGGCCGGGGCCCTGGAGTCTTTAACGCCCTCGTGCAAGGGCCGGGCTGTGGTTTTGTGGCAGCCAATCAATGCAGGATTTGATGCGCAAAAATTGTGGGACAGAACGTGTAAAATACATATTTACATATTTTGAACATATGACTTCAGAGTGACCGCAAATGCAAGGTAATTAAAGCGTGGATGGTTACATGGATACGTATATACATATTTACATAAAAATGCATATAAACATGTATGGCAGTCGATCTAAAGGTCCTTGTAAGGAGTTTTAATTGTGAAAGCCGTGTGTGTTATGTTGGAAGCCCTCGAGGAAGTTGTTTTTCGAGTTCGCGAAAGAAAATGTTTTATTCGCGAAAGTTTCACGAAAGTTGGATATTATGAATCATTATCATTGTATACATTACAACTTGTTAAGGGCTACCACCTCCTGCCGCCCCGGGTCCGGCAGGAGAATGGTACCGCACCATAGGTAGCAGCCAAGCTTCCAAAGGTGAGGCTTTGCCACGGCTTCGCCACAGCCAAATACCATGGTCTTGAAGCGCATCCTTGCACCTGCCGCTGGTACTGCCTAACGTTGCTTCCTGAAGTCTCAAGAAGCAAGCTCCAAATGCAGCAGCCAAGCTTCCAAAAGTGAGGCTTTGCGAGAGCCAAACACCAAGGCCCCTGGTGTTTGATTTTCCTCTGATGCGCCCCCTGCTGATGGCTGGGGTCTGCGGATAGGGGTATTTTCGCGAAAGTTCCGCGAAAGTTTTGCCAAAGAGTGGGCGAAAGTCTGGCCCAGTAAGCCTTGCAACAAATTGCCTGATCAGCAACAACCTGTCCTGAGAAGGGGATTCCGTGATACTAGCTGCATGTTTACAAGGCTATGAAGAAGTTATCCGTGATAATTTTGTGTGAATGAGTCTTCATAAGAGGGGTTGTTGCTCAACATGGGTTCCGCGAAAGATAAACATGGAGTTGGCAAAAGATTCGCGAAGAATGGCCGTTCCTGGATAAAGGAATTTTGACCAACCATCAAATATATATATATTATTATACACACATATATATATAGTGATGTATATATTTTAAAAAACATACATGTATAGCTGTATGCATATATATATAAATATAAATAAATAAATATATATATATATATAAATATATATTTATATATATATGCACAAGTTTTTTTTTAATGATGTTTAACCAACTAAAACATGATCTTTTGCAGGGTATCGTGCAGATGACTTCTTGTTTGTGCCTTGACCTGCCGTGAACGATACCACATGTCAAATATATTTATATCAGTGTCCAGAAACTATAGCATGCCATATCTATATCTATGCATATATACATGTATACATATATGCATATATAGCATACAAAACAACAAAATATCACCATCGGAAATCTTCAGTTGTTTTTTTTTAACCGGTATGGAGCTGGAGAATCTCAGAAATCTCTGCATTTTTTTGCCATTTCCACCGGTTTTGCCGCGGCAGATCTCGCGGAACTGGATCTGCGCAAAGCAGGGCATCGAAGCGGTGGCGCAGGTTCCGACTGCTTGGAGAGGTTAGGAGCTTTGATAAAAGAAGTGTTATCTGGATGCGTGAACGTGTATATCAATATATATATATACTTATGTAAATGTATCTGCATATGTATATGTATATGTATATGTATATGTACATGTATCAGTAGTACCGCACAAGGCGGTGGGGGAAGTTTCAAAAATAGGAAACCTATAGGAGAGATTGGTTGTTGTGAATCACGGATGGCAGAGTGAACCCACTGATGGACTGAAAGGTGGTTGGAGCTGTGTTTTTTGGAGTGGCTGCAATGGTTGCAGTGGTCACCTTGTCGGTCACCTCACCCACAACTGCTGGATGTAGTGTGGTGTAGTGCAGCTGTAGTTGTAGTTGTAGTGTAGTGGAGTTGTAGTTGTGGTGTAGTCTAATTAGTGTAGTGTAGTTGCAGTTGCAGTTGTGGTGGTGTAATGAGTGTAATGTAATGTAATGTCATGTAATGTAATGCAATGTGGGGTAGGGTAGTGTAGTGTGGTGTAATTGAGTGTAGTGTGGTGTGGTGTGGTGTAGTGTGGTGTAGTGGTGTAATGCAATTAGTGTAATGTAGTGTAGCGTAGTGTAGTGTAGTGTGTAGTGTAGTGTAGTGTGTAGTGTGTAGTGTGTAGTGTGTAGTGTGTAGTGTGTAGTGTGTAGTGTGTAGTGTGTAGTGTGTAGTGTAGTGTAGTGTAGTAAGGTGTAGTGTAGTGTAGTGTAGCGTAGTGTAGTGTAGTGTAGTGTGGTGTAGTCTGGTGTGGTGTGGTGTGGTGTAGTGTGGTGTAGTGTAGTGAAGTGTAGGGTAGGTGAGGTGTAGTGTAGTGTAGGGTAGGTGAGGTGTAGTGTAGTGCAGGGTAGGTGAGGTGTAGTGTAGTGTAGCGTGGTGTGGGGTGGTGTAGTGTAGTGTAGTGCAGTGTCGCGTGGGGTAGTGTAGTGTAGTGTAATTGAGTATAGTGTACTGTAGTGTAGTGTAGTGTAGTGGAGTGGGATGTAGTGTAGTGTAGTGCAGTGTAGTGTAATGCAATGTACTTGGTGTAGGTTAGTGTAGTTTTATGTAGCTGTAGTTGTAGTTAGTGTGATGTAGTGTAATGTAGTGTAGTGTAGTGTGATGTCATTAGTGTAGTGTAGTGTAATGTAGTGTAGTTGCAGCTGCAGTTGTAAATGTAGTTGTAGGTGTAGTGCCGTGTCATTCACTGTAGTGTAGTGTAGTGGAGTGTAGTGTAGTGTAGTGTAATGTAATGTAGTGTAGTGTAGCGTAGTGTAAATGTAGTATTGTTGTAGTTGTAGTTGTAGTTGTAGTTAGTGTAGTGCAGCGTAGTGGAATGTAGTGTAGTGTAGTGTAATGTAATGTAGTGTAGTGTAATTGAGTGTAGTGTAGTGGAGTGTAATGGAATGTAGCGTAGTGTAGTGTAATGTAGTGTAGTGTGGTGTAATTGAGTGTAGTGTAGTGGAGTGTAGTGGAGTGTAGTCTAGTGTAATGTAATGTAGTGTAGTGTAATTGAGTGTAGTGTAGTGGAGTGTAGTGGAATGTAGCGTAGTGTAGTGTAATGTAGTGTAGTGTAGTGTAATTGAGTGTAGTGTAGTGGAGTGTAGTGTAGTGGAATGTAATGTAGTGTAGTTGTAGTTTAGTGAAGTGTAGTGGAGTGTAGTGTAGTGTAATGTAGTGTAGTGGAATGTAGTGTAGTGTAGTGTAATGTAGTGTAGTGGAGTGTAGTGTAGTGTAATAATTGAATGTAATTGAATGTAATTGAATGTAATTGAGTGTAATTGGGTGTAGTGTGGTGTAGTGTAGTGGAGTGTCGTGGAGTGTAGTGTAGTGTGGTGTAGTGTGTAGTGTAGTAAGGTGTAGTTGTAGTTGTAGTGTGTAGTGTAGTGTGTAGTGTGTAGTGTAGTGTGTAGTGTGTAGTGTGTAGTGTGTAGTGTGTAGTGTGTAGTGTGTAGTGTGTAGTGTGTAGTGTGTAGTGTGTAGTGTAGTGTATTTATCTATCTGTCTATCTATCTATCTATCGTCTATCTATCTGTCTGTCTATCTATTCTAATCTATCCATCTATCCATCTATCCATCTGTCTATTTATCTATCTATCTATCTATCTATCTATGTATCTACCTATCTATCCGTCTACCTGTCTTTTCATCTGTCTATCTATCTATCTATCTATCTTTCTACCTATCTATCTATCCGTCTATCTTTCTGCCTATCTATCTATCTATCCATCTATCTATCAATCAATCAATCAATCTATCTATCTATCCATCTATCCATCCACCTATCTATCTATCTGTCTATCTATCTATCTTTCTATCTATCTATCTATCTATCTATCTACCCATCTATCTATCAATCTATCTATCTGTCTATCGATCTAGCTGTCTCTCTATCTATCGGTCTATCTGTCTATCTCTCTATCTATCTGTCCGTCTGTCTATCTATCTATCTATCTACCTGTCTATCTATCTATCTACCTACCTATCCACCCGTCTACCTATCTATCTATCTGTCTATCTATCTGTCGATCGATCTATCTATCGATCTATCTATCGATCGATCGATCTATTTATCTATCTATCTACCTGTCTACCTATCTATCTATCTATCTCTCTCTCTCTCTCTCTGTCTGTCTATCATCTATCTATCTATCTCTCTCTCTCTCTCTGTCTGTCTGTCTGTCTGTGTGTCCGTCTATCTATCCCCCTGTCTATCTGCCAGCTTGAAAACGAAGCACTTCTGCGAGACTTCCTCATTTGTCGACGTTGACAACAGCAAAAACGAAACAATTCTACGAGACGTCTGCAGTTTCTGAACTTGACAACCTGCAAAACGAAGCAATTCTGCGAGACTTCTTCAATTTTTGAACTTGACAACATCAAAAACAAAGCAATTCTGCGAGACTTCCTTGAAAAATGGAGAGTAAAAGTGCAGCGCTGACAGCCTCGTACCAATGCGTTTTGCGATTTTTCCACTCCACCTATCTAAAGTACTGCGCCTGCCACGAAAAATGGATGCCAGGTCATGCGAAGTGCTGCACCTGTCACGCAAGATCATCTTAGCAAACCTACAGATCTGATGCTCCAAAATGCACCCCCTCTCAGGAAATCAGCGCCCTGACCTCCTAACATCTCTCATGACCATGTCTTTTGTACTGCGCCTGCCACGGAAAATGCATCTTTGCAGATCCTCTTCAAATGTCCCACGCCTGCCATCGTTTTTGGACATGCTACAAAAGCCTCACGTTTTGCTCACTTTGGACAAGGTGCACAATCCCTTGCGCCTGCCACGCGAAACGACATCTGAACCTCCAAAAGTGGCGCGAACATGTGGTCTTTTGTACATTTTCACTTCGAAATGTCCTTCGCGCCACAAAGGCGTGCACTGTTTCGACATCGCAACTTCCAAAAGTGGTCCGAGCATGGTGTGCTTTGTACATTTTCACTTCGAAATGTGCTTCGCGCCACAACGGCGCCCACTTTTTCGACATCGCAACTTCCAAAAGTGGTCTGAGCATGGTGTGTTTTGTACATTTTGGCTTCGAAATGTGCTTCGCGCCACAACGGCGTGCAATTTTTCATCTCTCATCTGGCCAGCTGGCTCCGCACCCGACACTTTAGCGAGCCTAGTTGTCGACCCTCTGGAGCCTCAAATCATTGAAAAAACACATTGTTTCGACTTTCCTACCTTTTCGCGCGTCTGCATCTTCTTTCTTCTGCCTCTTTCTCTTCTACTCTTTCTCTTCTCTCTGCCGACTTTCCTACCTTTTCGCGCATCTGCATCTTCTTTCTTCTGACTCTTTCTCTTCTACTCTTCTCTCTTCTAATCTTTCTCTTCTCTCTGCCTCTGCCCTGCTCTGCTTTTCATCTGTCCATATTGTCGGAAGTTTGACTTCTAAACTTCCTTCGATGAGTAGATGTATTTATTTATGTATGTGTATATGTAAATGTGTATATGTAAATGTATCTGCACATGCATATGTATACGTATATGTATATGTATGTGTACATGTATGAGTAGATGTATTTATATATGTATGTATATACGTAAATGTGTATATGTAAATGTATCTGCATATGCATATGTATATGTATATGCATATGCATATGTATATGTATATGTATATGTATGTGTATATGTATATGCATATGCAAATGCATATGTATATATGTATATGCATATGCATATGTATGTATATGTATGTGTATGTGTAAATGTATATCCATATGTAAATGTATATGTATATGGATATGGGTATTATGTATATGTATATGTATATGGATATGGACATGGACATGTATATGTATATGTATATGTAAATGTATATCCATATGTAAATCCATATGTATTTGTATATGCATATGCATATGCATGTTTCTGTATGTGTATGCTTATATGTATATGTATATTTATATTTATGTGTGATAACTGTATCATCTCTATATACTATCCAGTCAAATATGGAATTGTTTATTGTTGGGTATCGAAGATGAATCATGGTTAGTAGGGGAAACCAGTCCCAAATAAACTAACATGTCAGGTTTTCTACAGGGCGAAATCTGATATGGCTATGTCTAAGGTGTTTTTTTTCATTATGCCCGCTCTAAGAGTTTATTAGTCTACAAACTTACAAGATGGGTTTGTCAATAGGGAACCCCCCCAGTTCCATCCCATGCTTTGTCATCATCTTCTGTATTATTTGATGGCCGTAGGTGGGTTCAATAGCAAATCATCATCGTTTGGGGTGTTTCCCCCGATCCTTAATCAACCAGGCTTTAGTTCCATCCGGGATTGACATTATCAATCGATAACAGTGGGTGTTTATTTGTGATGATGGTCATTTCAACATAGGGGATATGATGCAACTTATACAAGCAGAACCGTCAGCATTCATGGTTGGTGGTTTCAAATATTTTTCGTGTTTTCATCCCTAGTGGCTGATATTTTTCAGGCTTGAAACCACCATAGCCATCAAATCTATCTAATTTATCTAATTTCCATAACTCACAACTTACATGACTTATAGAACACATGTTGATATAAATCACCAACAAACCATCAACCAGCATATATTCATGTGTTTTTTTTGGGGATGGGTCAAGTTACCATCATTATTTTCCTGGGGGAATCACCAGCTACAGCGCCAGGCCATGGCGCAACACCCAGCCCACGCGAAACTCCTAGAGGAGGGCGCGTGGCCGGGGAAACTCAGCGGAGCGGTTTCCATTTCGATGGGGTCCCAGGCGGGTGGGGCCCCAGGGCCCCAGTTCCTTAGCGTTCGTTGGTGAACATAACTATGTTGTAACAATAGTCATGAGTCATGATACCCAAATAATTAGATGGGGTGATAAAGCAACAAACACAACTGGGGGGCACCATCGTGCAGCGAAAATGGTGATTCTACGCGGCAAAGTGGTGATTTGAACAAGCCCAAAGGGGGATTCAAGAAGCAATAATCGTGATTTTCATGGGATTTGACCAACCGAAGAGGGGAATTTTCACGAAAAATGGAGCTTTAAAAACACCAAATAAGGATTTGGTAGCCAATTTAATGGGGATTTCATCAGGAAAAACATGGGGTATGTTCAGAAATGGTGATTTCACACAGCGGTGAGTTTACCATGAAAAAAACCTGGGATTTATCCACGCGGGTATTGGGTATTGGGTATGGAAGATGGGATCATATTCAAAATATGTTTTTTTTTTCCACAGTAAGGCTAGAATGTGGATAATGATAAAAATTTTCGGGGAATTGGTTATTTGTAGAACCCCAAACCATCATTTCTGAAAGGCTATGGAACTCAAGTTGTTATTTTTGAAGACACGACCAATTTTTTTTTTGTCAAAGGACTACAGTACTCCGCTGAAAACCCCAAAATGAAGAGGGTAATGTAGGAATTGACATGTTGGAGTGATTTTGGAGGTTATTCTTTTTTCAGGGACTTTCATTTCACGGTTTGATAGGGGTTCCCACAACGGATCATAACAGTCTTCAATCAAACAATTAAGTCCAATAAGTATAAACCATGATAAACCCATTGCCCAGCAGAACACCCCGTGGTCAACTGGTCATGCAGATGTGGTGAATCTCAGCCAGCAGCATGGTTGGTTACCTATGTGATTTCAGCCATGGGCTGGGCTCAGCTGAACCCAACTTCCGAGTCGAGGCTGAGCTACGTCCTCCATGGCGTCAGTGGGTTCGTGCAACTTCTGAAGCTCTCGCAGGCGAAGACAAGGAGGGCAAGGGGAGGCTAGGAACATCTAGGAACTGACAAGATGGCAATGTGACAAAACTAGTGATTTATTGACTATAATTGTCAATCATTTGGGGGTTCAAGCAGACAAAATGGGGGAGTTCATGGCAGTTTTATGCGGATCGACTGGGGATTTGACGGTAGAGATGGGGGATTTATCCCCAAGTCATGGCCCATCTGCAGTGTATTTCAGGGCCTATTCCTGGGCAAAAGCGTATGTGCTAGAGACAACACATGAGATTAATGGGTTACGATCATCCCATGCCATGGGAATCCAAGCATAATGGGTCTATAAATCCTATGAACATGGATTGATGACCATCCTCCTTTTTTGCCTATATGGCCTAATCTAATCCAACTTTTGACCCAAAGACATTGGAGACATTCTGGATAGCAACCGGTAGGGAGCCTCTATCAAGAAACCAGTAGCTTTGGGGACATCCAACTGATAAAATCGTGGTTGCTGTAATCGCAATGATTCGGGCAACTAAAACCAAAGGATATCAACATTGTCAACGGGCTACGACTTTCTCACAGATTTCGGTTTAACCATGGTTTAACCAGTAAACTTGGGGATTGCAGTTGGTTGACGGTTGAGGGTACGATTTTTTGGTGATAGTTTTTGTGGTTGATCATTGGATCATGAGTATGATCTAATCCAATATGGGACGATGATCACAAGGATTTTGTTGGAAACGTAACTACCAAACATTTGGGCTTCACCAACATATACATTATATATATATATATATAATATGTATATATAGACATACATTTGGGTTTACAAGCATCAAACTAGTGAGTTTGACCAGTATATACCAGTATACTTCACGGGCCGTGTATGTAATATACATATATATTTATAACATGTATAGACGAAATCATGTATACAACAATGTACCCCTAGTAGGTTGACATAGCCATTGACATTTACCCATTGTAGATGATTACCCAATGATTCCATTGCTACGTTTGATTACCGGAGGGTATGTAATATTTCAACATATTATTCCTGGTTTCCGCACGGATTGGAGATGTGATACAACGCATTTTTTTGGAATTTAAACAATCATTAGGTAAAACAACATTAGATATTTCTTTATATTCTTCTATAACTGTCAATGTTTTTCATGATCCACGTTATAACCTGGGCTATCTTTTTGACAAAATCTCCACTAAATATGGTTTCAACGTCAAAAAATATAGGGCCACTATATAACCACATAACGATTTCCACGATATATTCATCATTAAACACGATATATTCCACTATAATGGCTTAGATAATATGTTATAACCACCACATATCCCTCGTTATAAGAAACCACAACGGTGGCTTTTAGCGTCTTTCAGTGTTGCCGAGGCGATGCCAGGCAACACGCTGGGCACAATGGCAGTGCAATATGCCACCTGGAGTCCGTAAGGAGGGACTTTGTGACTGGAAAATGAGTGTCTGGTTGGTGGTGACTGGAACATTTGGATGAATTTTTCCATATATTGGAAATTTCATCATCCCAACTGACGAAGTCATGTGTGTGTTTCTGTTGTCAAAAATCCGGGCTGGAAATCATCCACACACACATTTTTTTAATCATTCCATAACTGGTGTAATTGTCCACGAGCATAAATGGGTAAGAAAAAACTAGGAATCGGGGACTTTCACGAGCACCAGGGTTACCAGTTACGAAGTTTCATGATCTTCCAGGTGGAGAGTTGAATTTTCCATGGCTGAAAAAGGTAAAACCAATCATAAAGCATCCACCAACCATGAATGATTGGGGGGGTCATAACAAAACATCATCCCAGTCCTAGAGGTATACCCATTTTTGGTGAAGCTCAAACTTGGGGATGGTGACTATGGCATACTATGGCATTGGGTGAATCCCACATTAGTCACACCATTCTTGTTTTTTTTTTTTTTAATGGATGAAATATCAACCAACATAGAGATAGACTAGGAATAAAGTACTTGTAGCCCATCAATATCATGACATGATTAACTTTTTATGACCACAATTGGATTCCTCAACGATATAAATGGCGGGGTCTTTCGCGAACGTATTTTTTTTGATATTCCTGGGATAATGATGAAACCAATAATGGAGTGTTTTTGAAGTGGGGGACCTCAAACTCTTTAGCAATATGTCATTCTTTATGGGTAAACTATGGTTTCTGGCTACCCGGCTACCCCCAATTGACAAGCATCCGCGTTTGGCAACCCAAATTAAATTGTCTGTTTAACCGTTGGCAGAAACAAGGATTCCACCATTTAAGCATGGCGATTTGGGTATGATTGTATCATTCAACATTCAGCAAAAAGTGGCTAACGAGCTTTCGCCCACTAACCAGACTGAGTTTGAACGAACCACTCAACGGAAAGTGTCTGAATCCCAATTTTTTTGTTGTGTCTGCATGGTCGTGAAATCCCAGTTTGTGTTGTTTCTCCCAACATTTGTTTGCTTCTTATCTGATTGGTTGATTGAAACCTTCTATGTAACCGTTAGTCTAGTTCAATCATATTTCTATTTGATGACCTCGTTATTTCATCAAGTCTGGTCGAAAAGTCCGATCTTTATTTGATTTTTAGATATTATTCCATGGTTACCCTCTGGTAATCAAACATGGTTTGCTGGAAAATTCCCCTAAATTCGGTCAATTTTGCGAACCATAAACCTCCTTTTAAAAAACGGGGATGTCCGACATATACCCTCTGGTTATTTGTTACATAGCCATGGTATAGATGGCCCTAATCGAAATAGATGGTTTACCTGGGTTTACCTATTAATAGCATGGTGATTTTCCATGGCAAACTGTTAAATAACCAGAGGGTATATCTTTTCCCATTGAAAGCTCCATTTCGTTGGGGGATTTCCCCTCATGATTTTCCGCTGATAAATTCAGCGACCAAGGCAACGGCCAAAGCACTGCGGGAGCTTTCGGAACAGCAGAGGGAACGCGGCAAGGACTGGGGACGCAGCAGTTTTCTTGGGAGATTTCGTCCGAAAAAATGGAGGATTTCAAGGATTTCAATGAGGGTTTCAAGATGTTTCAAAGATTTCACCAGCCAAAAATCGGAGTTCACCATGAAAAATCGAGGTTTCGATGGGAGATCAGTAACTTTTATGGGGATTCCATGGAAGATATGGAAGATGAATGGGGTATATAGCTGAAAAAGCGGGTTACATCCACCGTCACTAAATAGAGAGGCGCTAAAAAATAATGGGGAAACATATATGATTATATAAGCATGCCATGAAATTTGGGAGTAAGGTATTTTCAGACAAACCCCAAATACTTCAGCCGATGGCATCCATTCTGGCGAAACCTATGGGTTTGGAGTTTCCCTGGGTTTGGAAGTACCTTTATGCACACTATCAATGAAGAACTATGGATCTCCGACATGGGTCATGTGGGGGCTATCTTCCTGGACCCAGGTTCGCTGTTTTGGGATGAAATCGTAGTTTCAACACTGATTTTCCAATCCTTTTCCATTGTCTGATGGTTCTCCAATGGGTTTCCAATGGTTTTCCGATGGGTTTTCCACTTCACCAGGAGGGCTGCATGGGGTGGTCGGAAGCTGATGTGTTGGTGCTTGGCCTTCTGGCAGCTCTACGACAGTGGCGGGACTCAGAGGGCGTGCAGGGCTCATCCACTTCCCATAAAATAACCACTTGAAGATGGAGGAGTTTCCACTTATGAACGGTTCTTTGGACAGTACCGGGTACAGGACTCATTTGGATCAACCCAGTGCCGTGTGATACTTGACAGGATACGTAAGATACTTTGGATATTGATTATCACGACCTACACAGGCTAAGGTTGTCAACGTTTTCGAGGGACAGCATCCGCAAAAAGTGGGGCTAGAAAAGGACGGCCTAAATGTTTTCAGAGTTTGGTCTGGGTCAGTACTTATTATTTTTTGGAGCGAGGAGATGCGCATGTAATGTGGTAAATCAAATGCCGACTTAGCCATCCCAGATTGTGGTTTGTGAAATTGGGTATAATGTGGGTAAAACAACAATAAGCCATCCCCGTTGGTAATAAACCATTCCCAAATGGGTGATTTATGACATTGTTTTAACCACAGTATGATTCATGATAGCCCCCCCTTGATGGTTCGTCAATGGATTCACCATGGTGGGTCATGGGTCATGTGAATCCACTGTTGTTGCCATTCGTCGATCCGAAATCGCACTACTTTGTAAATCGCACGCAAGTTGAATCTGCGTTGTTCCAGATGTGGAAGTCGTCAAGTCGTCAAGTATGGACCCAAGTAGATAGAATGATATAGAATGATAGAGCTGGAAATATGAAGTAAATCTCATTTTCCCAACATCCTGGTGCCATGCTCAAATCGATGTTTCGGCAAAAAAAACACCCAAAATCGATGCGCTTCAGCTACGTTTCAGCTCGACGCCAAGACATCCCAGAGATTTCACCCAAGGCATTCGCAGCCCAATGAGGAATTACTTTGTGAGCCAGGGAGGCCCAGACGCGGCCGCTGGGGCCCATGCAACCAAGAAATGGTGAAACAACCTCTGGGAAAAACGGAAAAAAAAACCAGAAATTTCCGAAAAAGAATTATAACATGTTATAACCAGCCAGTAGAGGAGGACCATTTCTTGGGTTTCGGGCGCTTCTCATTTGTGAGTAAGTCCGTCTGCTTTTGTTGAGGTTTCGTCAAGGTTCTGCTCTGTTTCTTTTGCACACTGATGCATACGCAAAATGAAAAATGATATGCATTGTGTATATATATATATATACACATACACATACATACTATATGTATACATATATACATATATATATATATAAATATGATGTATTCATACATATCAAACCATCTGAAACCCTCTGAACTTTGGACCTGAACGAACGCTTTCTTGGATGGTTAATCCTGGATTCTCGTTCGCTTCAGAAACTGGGACCATTGGGCAGCCGGAACGTGATGTAGATTTATACATAATAATAATTATATATATATGCATAGCATGATAATGTATGATAATGATATATAGTATGACACATATAGTATGATATACATGATACATATATATACATATAGTATGATAATGATAAGGTATATATATATATTTATACATGACACATAGTATGATAATGTATGATATATCTATTTAGGCAACTACAAAATACACAATGCATACACGCACACATACATACAGCATGTATGGTACATGCGTACCCGCCTACCTACACATAACACACACACACATCTATGTATATATATATATATGTACATACGTGTATATATATACACGTTATATATCTATATACACGCATACATACATATGCAGATACATATTCATGTATGCTTCCATAAAAACCTTCACCGAGGTGTTTTAAAGCTCTCAATGAGCTGATTCACGTGGTTGACTCAGATAGGCGGAGAGGACTTGAGATTTTACTGACATGTTGGTCTTGTTTGAAAATGTCGGAAAAAAACACCATATTTGATAGTTCATCACCGTTTTTCATGATTCTTTCCCTCTGAAACGGCCATGGTTGAGGGCTTCTTAGGACGGTGTTTTCACCGTCCTGAGGTCACAATAAAAACGGTGCTTAAGGGACCACCCAAAACTGGCCTCACTTCAGATTGGTTGAACATCACAAGTCAACCACATATATAATCATTCAAACTATAGTGATCATAATGATTATAATTTATTACAATGATGATAATAACTAAAGAATTGACAATCATAATCATAATCATAATCATAATCACAACAACAACCACAACCACAACCACAACACCAGCTACGCTGATCCAGGAACATCCAGGTCGAGGCAGACTGTTCATGGAGCAAAGTGGTGGAGAGGCGGAGTTAGTTTGGATCATCGGCCGCCGGTGAACGGAACGAAAACATGTTCCGAGATGATTAAAAAAAACGCACAGATTAGGAGGGAGGGATCTCATTAGGTGAAATCCAAGTAAAATTCCAGATGTTTGGTGACATCATAGTTATAATTTTCGAAATGGTTACGTACATAGTTATATAATTTTGGAAGATTATTCCATCTCATTAAGTTATTATTATATTAATTTTCCTGGTGGCATCTGTTTCCTCCAACCGATTTCAGCAGTGGTGGCTTCACGACGCTGAACGACGCGCCAGGCGCTCTTGAAAGCCTTGAGCGCCAGCAGCCCCCCCGGCCCTAACCCTACTAGTCCCAAGTGGCGGCAAGTCGCGGGGACCCAGTCTGCTCGAGGGGTGGGTGCAGTTCCAGTGAACTAAGTGGGGCTGTCTTAAAATGAGGGATTAGCCCATTAATATCTTATTAATATCCCATTAATATCTCATTAATATCTCATTAGTATATTAATATTCCATTGGTATATCATTAATATCCCATGAACATATTCCAAAACAATAAAGGATTTTCGCTTATTAAGCAATTAGCCAGAATATTTCGGCGTTTCTTGAGTCATGGGGCATCCCCAAGTCAACATGGGTTTCAATACTAAAATGGCCTAGTTAATGTCTTGGATTGTTTGAAGGTACCCCATTTTAGGAACCCCCCTAAGTGGTTATGTAACCATAGTTAGGGGGGTTATATCCTAGCTGATGGGTGAAAATCCCATGGTGAAAAACGATGGCGAAGAAGTTTGAGTGAGATAACACAACATCAAATTTGATTTTGGATGGATTATGGCTGATTGTGGCCATAAGATTATTTTTTTCCTTTTTTGGGCGTGATGGTGCGTGTAAGTTGGGTATTGTGGTGAACCCGATCGCAGAGTATCACCTATTTGGGGTCAGTTAGTGGTTATACACCTCTTCAGGATATTTTATTAGAAGCCCAATACCCTCTGGTAATTTAACATAGCTATAGAAAATCACCATTTTTAATAGGTAAACCATCTATAAATGGGCCATCTATACCATGGCTATGTTAGTTTACCAGAGGGTAACTGTACTGTTATCGGGGCTGGTTTATGGTTTGGTTTACCACATTGTCACCAGGCCATAGGGATGCAAGATGATTTAACCACCAGTTTCATAGATCTATCCTTGGGCTATCCGAAAGGGGCTATCAATGCATCTCCGTGATTCAGCTGCTTCACTCGAAATGAAGATCTGTAGGGTCAAAAGCTAGACTTAGTCGACTCAATTTTGAGGCCAGAAAACTCCCATATCTGCATGTATTTTGGCAGATATTTCGATGTGAGCAAAGTTTAAAGATGTCAAGATGTCCCTCCAACTCTGTCGGACAAATCCAAGTGAACCTCATTTGGTTGTCACCAGCTGAGATTGTTCTTTTGCAGCCCTTGGTTTACCCTCTGGTAATTCAACATAGCTATTGAAAATGGCCCAGTCGAAATAGTGGATTTACCCATTGAACATGGTGATTTTCCAGTTCGCAACATGTTAATTTACCAGAGGCTGCACCCCACTTGTCCAACGGCTTTACGAAGACAGGCTGGCATTTGGCTGATGACAAATCTGGTCACAGGTGCCGTATGGCCGCCATGGGCATAGCGCCATCAGGGGAGCTGATCCCATGATAAAACACATCATGTTACCCTCTGGTACACTAACATAACTATGGAAAATCACCGTTTTCAATGGGAAAATCCACTATAAATGGTCATTTTCAATAGCTATGTTAAATTACTAGAGGGTAAGCCAGCAATCATAAGCCAGCGATATTTTGATGGTTTCCCACCCACCCACGTAAAAGCTAAAATTGGAGATGGTGGATTCCTATTGCCTTAGCAACATTAGAAGGAGTTTTGCCTAGTCATCGTTGCCGATCCCATGGTCACCGGCCCCCCGTTGTTTTACAGACAGTACATGGATAGGTAACTGGGTTGCATCCCAACACACACACACAATATATATATATTATATATATACACTGGTAGGTGATTTGACATATAACCGATTTTTCAACCATATTTCGGAGGATGCTTTGAAGACACCAACCAAGTACACATTTGTATACAGTATATATATATATTATATTTGTATATATATATACACATACACCACATGTTGTATTGATCCGAGTCACAGGCAGGTTGAGATATTCTTACCCTCAGCCTTTCATGGATAGCGGTGATATTTCTTTCTACAGCCCTTCAAAATGGAACCAACATGGACATCAGATGGACAAAAAAACTTTTTTTGTATATACTCCAGATGGATGATTGCATCTCTAATCGCCATCATTGTTGGCTTTTTTTGGAAGCATGATCTGTTGAAAACCCTGCCCATACTGAAAAATCTCATGACATCCCATGAAATCCCATCATCCACGGTCCGTAGGAAACCCTAATGCCGCCTCCACGCTTCGAAGCATGGGCGTCCAATGCCCAATCTGGGTGGGGGCAACCCTCCTAGTCCATTGGTTTCTCATTAAAGGATGGTTTTCCATTGGTTTTCCATTGGTTTTCCATTGGTTTCCCATTAAACGACCAGGCTTGGAGGATTTTGTGGCCCATTGGTTTGGGGAACCTTATGGAGCCCCCATGGTTCCACGCGCAGATATTCTTTGTGGAGGGGTCCATGGATAATTTTGCCTGTAACGATTAGGTAACCAAAAGGGAATGGATAACAACCAACAACAATAGGATGTTATTGGCCGTAAAAACACGGAGCATGGAAAGATCATTGAAGGCTCCAAGCAATGTGAAACTACACGCCTGAGTGAGTGACACATGCCAACACTTTTTTTTTCTGGTTGTGGTACCGCAATGAATTTCACCTTGCAGATCTACAAGTTGCTTGAGAGGTTGATGTTCCAGTCGTAGCTTCACGATGTCTTGTCTAGTGGTGCTTCCAGAGGGTCAGGGGGCCATTGATTTTACTTGGGTGCCCATCAGAAACTAGGCGACACGTGCGACCTAGATCCAACTGCCATGGAAATCAAGGTTCCAACTGCTGTGTCCCATTGCATCCCTACTCAGTAGGGCCTACTGTTTATCATGTACTTGGGCTACTTGGGGGTTCTTTTGTCATGGGAGTGCCTGAGGCTCTTGATTGCTTGGTGAAATGCGGTCAGCCGGAGCCTGACAGTCTCACTTTGGCAGTTAAAAAAACAACAGTTGAATGAGATTTAGAACTTTAACCATAGCTTTGACCATCAAAGACATCACCATTTTGATGAGTATTTCAATCATCCCCAGTGTTTTTTTTGTCGGCAGCCACGGTTTCTCAGATGAACTCATCGTGGCGCCGAGGGTGTTGCCTGGCTCGGGCTTCGACACCATGTGGACCTTGGGGCAGGCGCCCTTTAGGGCGAGCCTCGCGACGCAACGTTCTTCAACTGGGTCAATTGGGGATGAACGATGTCAGATCAGATGCCATGCCAATTTTTAGCCGGGGCTGTAAAAAATGACGTAACCACCAATAGGGTGTAGTTAGGATGTATTTTTTTCTATCAAGAAACACACATTGACGTACTGATGTACATGGCCGCTATATGTGACCAACTTAGGGGACACCCCCGATTGCAATTAATATTCTAAGGGATTACTGTATCATCATTGTCCCAATTCAGATCGTCATTTGGAGGGTATGTGTATATGTATGTATATATATATGTATATATATACATATATATATGTATATATATACATATATATATATATGTATATATATATGTTACATTATGTATATTCAATTTTCAGACAAACCCATTTGCTGGACATTAAAGGTGGGGATACCTGTTCTGTTTGGCGGCTGCACTCATGTTGCCATGCGCATTCGCATCCTGGATTGGTCATGGGCCCACGCTGAGATTTCACGTTGCGATGTTACTTCCGTGGTCGCGAGTTTTCAATACGCGGCGCCGACACCTATATCAATATCTATATATTTAAAACCGCAATGGCCAAAGAACATGTGTGAAGAACACAATCAAACGAAGCTACTAAATTATGGCTACATTGGATTTTATGAATTTCATCGATCCTTAACTTGGCATCGTTAACTCCAGTTAAGCGGCGCAACAATAAGCGGCAGCTAACCTGTTACATGATTTCCTGCGACGCAACGAAGGTGGGTGGTCCGTTGACGATCTTGAGACTCTTGGAACGTCTGGGGCCTCGCAGGATGATTTCTGTGTGATTTCTGTTGAGAATTTCCAGAAAAACTCGTGAAAAATCAAGGGTAAAATGCATCTGCATGGAAAAATACACATGTTCTTGACCTGGTTGCTGTAGCCTGAATTGGATTTCATCACAGTAATTTGAAGGGGAACGTGCGTAGTGGACGTTTGTCCCTGAACGGCGTGAGTAAGTGGGTGAACGGTTGGGGATTGGACACATGAGGTTTGGTCAGACATGACATCTGTAGGGAACTTGCTGCTACAGGTCTTTACAACAAAAGGTCATGGGCGACATCAGGTCTGAACACAACACAGTCCAAGGAAACCACAAAGATACTCCACACACACACAGAGGTTCGACGCTTGCGTGATTCGGAACTCCATACCTTTGTTGAAACAACAACAATATTTTGACAACAATGGAATGTGCTGATTGAAAATTGTATCAGGAGTAACATGGGTCCACGTTTTGGCCTGTCGTCAAGAGCTATCGCTCATCCCAATACACTGGATGAGTCATCGGACTTTCTTTCCACGTCGGTTTGATTCCAGGTGCCTCCGTCACCAATCGGTTTGATTCAACCTTTTGCATGACATAGAAAGACGTCCTCGCCACAGATGGTGTTTGATCTCCAATATATCCGCAACATTCCGCAACATTTCCATCAATAGATACCCCAACATCTCCATATTCACTCTGAAGTAATGCATCCACAGAACAGATGAGTAAGTACTTGGGGGTGTAGTCCAACTAACAAGTGGGTCATTTTTCACCATAGTTGTAGTGGTCAGTATCCCAACTTTTGGAGGTTCAAATCCCATCCCCATTTAGTAACCCATCCCCCTGCAGCCCTCCCCTTACGGTTGTGTACCTTTCTTCCCCCCCCACACGGCAGAGGTTGTCAGAACAAAGAGGGCCTCTCTGTCAGTCTGAAAGCTCTCTCCAGACTCACCTGGGAGTCTCTGGAGGATGGCTTGGATGGCTTGGATCACCTGGGCTTCACCTGTGGGTTTGTGGTCCATGACGACTGGATGTCGGATGGGTGAAATCATGAAAAATGGTGGGCCAGATCCGATTCTGACCGTGCTATGGAATTGGACCATTCTTTTGGTGATAATTTTGACCGTGCGCAGATCAAGGTCGAATATACCACTTGGATGTTTCTTACCAGATTTGAGGATAGTTGGTTAGTTGCTTTTGATCCACAGGAGTATATCATGAACGATCATTCGTGAATGGCATACATTTCTCGACATGTTTCCCAGAAAACATCCAAACCGACGTACACGCTGTGGCATAATAATGGATATAATGGTAAATCGTGAATGAACGGTATGAAAAGTCTATTGTATGTGCTTGGCAAATCTGGTTTAGGATCATTAGTTTAGATGACCTGGATTTTTTTTTGCATATAATATACTCATGAGACTTATTATAGAGAATTCATTATTGACAAAGTGTATTATAGATTGTGACTACATATAGTCTATATATATATATACACATCTATTATAGATTGTGACTACATATAGTCTATATATATACACATCTATACTATACTGTAGATATTGATGACTAAATGATATATGAAGAACCAAACAACCAGCCCGCCGCTGCCACTCCGACCGAACACAGGACTTTCAAGACCAACTGCCTGAGGTGCTCAAGGAGTGGCTGTGTACCGTTGCAGCAGGTTACATGATCCATTTTCACCAAGGTTAACTGAGGTTTCTAGTGGAAATATATAGTTGGAGGGGATTGACGATGGGATATATCTATATATATCTATGGTTTATAGTGGATATGTAGGATATATCATATATCTATAGTTTATAGTGGATATGTAGGATAAATCTATGGTTCAAAGTGGATATGTAGGATATATCTATAGTTTTGAGTGGATATGTAGGATATATCGGAGTTACAGTGGATGTAACATGATATAACATGATGTAACATGATATGTCTTGGGTTTACACATGTTGTTTTATTTTTCCCCTCGCCGCTTCCATGCCCCCCTTCAACAAGGATCACCTCTTGGGCCCAAAAGTTTGAACAAAAACCACTGGCATTTTTTGGAGTTGCATCCTGAAAGACCATGATCATTTGTGATCATTTGTTGGTTGCATCCCCACTTTTTTCTTGATTTTGCCATTTTCCATAGTGTGAAACCGAAGCGCCACTCCGGAAAAACATCGTCCAGGGAGCCATCGATGCATACTGAGCTTCACGATGTCGATAGAAAGATCGATAGATGGATGGATGGATAGGTAGGTAGGTAAGTGGGTAGATAGGTAGGTAGATAGGTAGATAGGTAGATAGACAGATAGACAGATACATAGCTAGATAGCTATATTGTGCGTTTGTATCTTTGTATATATATATACACATGTATATCATACGCTTTTATGCACACGCACGGCACACACGCCCAAATTTGGTTTACTCCTTGGTTTACTCCACGAAACGCAGGAGCTGACAAAGACCATCCGCTTGATGGACGAGCGACTCTCCAAGGTCGGGAAAATCACGTGTGGTCAACTGATGGTAAACGTTTACATAACTATGGAAAATCACCATTTTTAATGGGAAAATCCACTATAAATGGCCATTTTCCATAGTTATGTTTGTTTGCCAGAGGGTAAACTGATGGTAAACTGCATAAACCCAATGACGTGCATCAACCATTTTGATGGCTATGGATTTTGGTGACTCTTAGTGGGTTTACCACACGAATGGTTGGATGCACGAAAAGAAATGTGTAACCCCGAAATGAGCACTGACTGTGATTTTCCTCCCTCGAAGACCATGTGAGATGACATGATTCGACATCATTTGCCATTTGTTATTGCTAATGTTCTTACTCTTGCACCTTGTATCACCATGTTCTTGCTGCTTACTTATCCTTTTCTGCTTGGTTTAAATTCATTGAAATTCCACATTCGATTCATGAAGCAATGCCACGATCCTTGTTGGTTTACCTTGATTTATTTTGTTCACCCCTTCTCATCCTTGGTTGATTCGGGCCCCTAAAGAAAGCAAAAGACTCTTCCCAGTATTTTGCCTGAAATTCCCAAAGTTTGGTCACTTAACTTCCATTGATTCCATTGTTTCTCACCCACCACTAGGCCCCAAAGCACAGGTCAAGCGGTTCATTGTTGGTGAATTTCCAATTTTTAACAGCTACCCTCTGGTAAACTAACACAGCTATGGAGAATCACCATTTTTAATACGTAAATCAACTATTTCTATGGCTATTTTCAACAGCAAACTCTTCAATTACCAGACTCTGGAACTCCTCCATATTCTCCCCCCCGTTTCTCCAGCAGCTTTCCAACCCCTTGAGGAGCTGCAACATGCGTTGCAAGCGCTGGGGGGCGTGTTGAAGTTCTATTCCGCCACAGTACCACCGAGCTGGGGCTCTGAGGGATGGGGAGGATGGGGAGGATGGGAAGATGGGATCAGGTGTCCTCCAATGTGTCCAACTTTCCTATGGCGGTTGGTTTCCATCCATCCATCATTTCAGCGATGGGATGCTACCAGAAACTCCATGTGGAAAATCATCATCCAAGGTGGCTGGGAACTCCCCCTATGGCAGAGGTTTTTGCATGGCAAAATCGTTGTTTCACAACATGGGGATTTTTTCCAGCCACGGAGCTGATTACTGGAGGATAAACATTTCAATTAAAGCCGCTAGCTGGTATAACCAGCATCCAGCCATCATTCATGGATATCAATATTATTCCCATGTTTTGCTGATCAAACCCCATTATCCCCATTTGTCACAAAGGCTAAATTGGCCTTTTTCATTTGATGGATTGCTGCAACAGGGAAAACCTGCAGGAAACATCGATATTTAGTGTAAAAACCAATGGTTCCCTGCAGATTCTCCAAAGCCATCCATTGAATTGTTGACTCTTCATCTGGAGGTTTCCTAAGATGGGGGTACTCCAAATCATCCATTTTAGATTGGGATTTTCCGTATGTAAACCATCCATTTCGAGGATCCCCATGACTATGTGGAACCCTCTATCTGTTTCAGCATATTTTTCCCCACCGTCCATGGCTTTGTAGTGGTTTCCCCTCGGTTTCACCGAGGCCTTTGCCCCGACATGGACGCGGCAGTAGAGCTGATGTTGAAGGCCGTGCGCAGCAGCGATCCGGACGTGGCCAAGGTGCGAGCGGGAAAAATGGCTGGCGACTGCTTGGAATTGTTTTTTCCTTGGGATGATTATTCGGGGATGGGTCAAAACCCTGGTACCTAGTGAACCCCAAGTCATAGCTGGGATTTATGGATGTTCATCCCACTAAAAATGTATCTACAGGTATTGACCCATACCCATTCAGGTCTCCAAGAATTGCAATTTAGGATGGGTTGCAACCACCACATGCAGTGAGATGTTCTTTCGCTTTGATATTGGCCAGCACTGAACCCCTGTGAAGCCCCATGAACTCCAGAATTCCAGCCTGAATCGAGTTCCGAAACAACCCACCACCCTGAGACATTGAAGTTGGTCAGTTATTCTACCGCTGGGGAGGTCGAGGGGCACCAGAGAATTGATGATCTAGCAGAGTTCTTAGCACTTATATCCCGTCCATTTATTGATCAATCATCGAGATCCCCCAAAAAAACATGCCACTAACTATGGAGCTGTGAAGTTTCTTTTCCCTAGTTTTTGCCCCATATTTTTGATGATCAACTCCCAAACTTGTGATGGTTAAAATAGCACACTGTAATTGCAATCGATGATCTCAATGATCATATCGCATCATCTATTCAACAAGAAGCTCATCAGCACATCAATGATTCATTTACCCAACCCAAACAACATCATCGTCATTATTATCATTATTACTATTACCAGTACTATTACCATTACTATAAACTATTAGTATCCCTATTGCTATGAAAATTACTATCTTTATTCCTATCATTCTTACTATTATCAATGTCGAATCATTGTCTGGTTTTCTTAATGTAAAAAAACAACGCCAGGCATCATTGTCTATTTTACAAAGATTGCCTATTATCATTCATTCAAAAACCATGTATATAAAAACATACCAAAACTGATTTGTGGTTTGGAACCATGGAATTTTATGACTTTCCATTTAGTTGGGAATGTCATCATCCCAACTGACGAACTCACTCCATCATTTTTCAGAGGGGTAGTCTCACAACCAGCAACCAGATTTTGTGGATGGTCATAGAAATAGTTGATCTTCCCATTAAAAATGATGATTTTCCATAGTTGTTTGTATGTTTACCAAACTTTCCAGACATCACCCCACCTCATCCAGGCCGCCAGCGTCTGCCTGGGACACATTGCCACGCCCCAGTGGCGCCTGCCACTGCAGAGCGCGCTGCCGACCATGCGCTGCTTGTGGATGGCCGCGGGCGAATCCAAGGCCATTCTGGGTCGCTGGTTGCGGGTTGATGATAGGTAGTTTAAGTTGAGGGTTGATGATTGAAATCTGAAAAAAAATGATATAGTTTGATTGGGGTTGATGTTTAAAATAGATTGAAATCCATGAAGGACTGAGGACTGAGCTGGGTTGATGATTAATAATTTGGTTTGTGGTTTTAACAATCAAGAATATGGGGATATTTTTGTGGATATGATCAGATGATCATTTACAACTCACAACTGGGTCAAGAATTTTCCAGCCATCCCACAATATCACATAATATAATGTACCCTCTGGTTATGTCAAAATAGCTATGGAAAATGGCCATTTATAGTGGATTTACCCATTAAAAATGGTGATTTTCCATAGCTATGTTAGTTTACCAGAGGGTATATATATATTATAGTTTCCATGTATATTTAATACTTGTATAAATAAGATTTGCACCTGAGCAGTGGCTGCGATCTACCCCGGTTGGTTGATGATGAGTTCGGGGGCTAATACTACCCACTATGAATTGGGGATGACCAGAATCCTGTTCTCAACCAACCATGACGGCCCTAGTGGGATGACAGAGGGTTTTGAAAACTGCGAAAAGGTGAAAACAAGGTGATTTACAAATTTGGTGGGGGCTACCATCAAACCATTTGACCAACAGAATTTAGGTTTCAATTCACAAAAAACTGGGGAAATCGAATTGAGGTTCGTTTGAACATGGCTGATTTACGCCTATGTTATGGCAATTCTTGAATTTTGGATAATTTTGGATGTTTGACAAGGGTGGATTGGTGGCATACCCAATAATTGTTGTGGAAACTGTGTCTGGTGAATGGTGGATGGTTTGCAAAGTTTGCTTCTTTCAGCCATCATAAACAGATCAAGGAATTTGTGATCAAGGAATTTGTGCTCATTTATCCCATGGATATCACTGGTTTCCATGGTAATTCTCCAAGGTTGGCCATGGAGATGCATAGCATGGCATAGCTCGTTGATACCGATAGATCATGACATGCTGGCAGGTGCACCTTTAGATGAACTTTTCATGGTTCGTGCGCACAGAATCATTGATATGTTTTTGTCTAAAAATCGGGTACCCCTACGGATGAATCATCATTTTTCCTATGAAAATTGTACGCTCCAAATATTGCGTTGGATAGGCTGTGTTCATGCCGACTTCCTTCCGCTTTCCGGAGGAAAGCTGCGGAAATCTTCGCGATTTGATGCGGGGGCCCTATGTTTTAATCAAGCTCCCTAGAGGTGATGTTTTCCCCCAAAAATACGGGTTTAACTGGGGTTGGTTAGATCCCCCAGGAAAGTTCAGGTGCTAGTGATGCTAGTGGAATTTAGAGGAATCTTTGGTTTTGGTGGTGATTCTTTGAGTATTTTGAGCATTTTATAGCTTGAAATTGGATTGTTTACCTTGCCATGTTCAGTTGCAGGGTTCTTCACCGAGATTCTCAACTAAGGAATGCACATCAAGCTTGCAGATTTTTATAGGGATCACTTTGAAGACCACCCATGGCCATCCTTGAGTCCTTACAGCACCGACAAGTGGATGTTTCAGACTCCGGATTTCAGCAGAACCTGCGACCCTTAAGCACAAGGATGTAAGAAGCAGATGGTAGGCCATTGTTCCTCATTGTTGTAGGCTAGTCTTCTTCTGGGCATCTCATCCTCACTTTTCTTGATCTTTTTCTTCCAGATCCTGCTTATTCCCAACATGTTTGTTCCAGCAATATCATGATCGTTGACGGCTTATGCTACCATTATTGTTTCTCATTTACTCATGTTATTATTTATTTATTTTTTTTATAGGTACGAGTCAACACTATTTTTTTTTTTATAGGTACGAGTCAACACCAAACAACCCCAGAACTAAGTTGCCCGTTCCATGCTTGGGAAAGGGAGGCCTTTGCGATTCCTTCAGACGAAAGTCTCATCGTTGTCCAACGAAGCCACACAGGTGGGCTGCAGGCTGTATCAATGGACTTCCCGTTTTGACGGAAGCCATGAGGCCGCTGGGAATGGGAGGACTATGCGGAAGAAAAAAAGCGCTTGGCGGATCCCCTATCGAGATTTCGATTTGTATACCCTCTGGTAAACTAACATAGCTATGGAAAATCACCATTTTTGATGGGTAAATCCACTATAAATGGCCATTTTCAATAGCTATGTTAGTTTACCAGAGGGTATCTCCGATCTAAAGCGGTTTGGGAATCACCACATAGATCCAACACATTCCAAAACCGCAGTGGGATGATTCACCCCAAGCAACCAGCTTAACTGGCACGTCAGGGAGCGCATTCAATGTGCAGATCTGCAGGTGCCAGTCGTGAAGCTGACAAACCCCATGATCTGGATGATTAGTAGGGAGAAGTATCTCAAAAAAGGCTTTATTTAGGTTGGTGAATTATTATGACGTGTGTGTATATATATATATATATTAACATTATATATTGACATTATATATATTAACATTATATATTGACATTATATATATATATATATGTATGTTCAGAATGATAGTGGGAGTCATAGATTTCTTTGGACATTTTCTTTTCCGATTGGTTTGTTGATGATTAAAAAGGGTGACCCCTATTGAAGAATCGCTAGGTAAATGATCAATGATATCTAAAGCCAATACATCTAGTCTTCCCGGAAGGGCATGATGAGGTTACTAAACTTTAAGAAATGGGGGGAGAATTGCCGGTAGATGGGTCAAAACCTGAGCAGAAAATGGGAGAGCGATGAAGCAGGTCTTGAAGTTGACAGACCCTCCTCCCCGTTGCATACGATGTACTGTGTATATATACATATACATGTATAATACATATGTACGTATATATATATATATGTAGATGTATATGTATGTTATCATCAGAATCAGAATTAACATGCTCTAGAAAAGACATGTGCTTGGACGTAACGATTCTATAGAGACTGCAATCAACCAGAGCTGTTGCTGTATCCAAGCGATGTCTTTGCCTCCTTGGCCCACCTATTTCTCATCCCAGTCCCCAGAGATGTCATGGTGGAATTCAACATTTTAAAAAGGCTTTATCCTATTCACTCACATTGGATTTCTCAAGGTATCAGTCACTGTCAGTCACTTGAATGTGACGTATGGTATAATCTACCTAAAGGTCTGGATTTCTCCCTTCTTCAATAATTCACCCTCGGTGGTTAAAGCAAAAAAACATGTTTTTCAAAGCACTAATTATCATCCCTGTCATAGAAAAAAATCACCATTGTTGGCACTAATTTCTCCACATGTTCTTGAGAAAATCAACATTTTTGTTGCCAGAATCGGCTCTTTGGCTTCGTGTGGATTTCCTCGCTTCACAACCCGTCACCGCCAGCACGCATGCTTGCGTGCCATCGTGGATATCGCTGATGAAGCGGATCGTTCGGGCCACCCGGAAAGAGGTCCCTGTGGAATGCTGAGTCAAAACCCTCCCGGGTACCCTAAAATTGCTGGAGAATGGCTGGGGAATGGCTGGGGAATGGATGTTGATTCCCATATTGGCAATTTCATAGGTTTTGACCCATCCACATGTGATTTTTGCATAATTTTCCTAGAAAAAATTGGGAGCGGAGGAGCTACCACGAGTTTCCCAACCATATGATAGCTTACCATATGAATTTTACCAAAGCTTTTTGGATCCATGAATGGGCACAAGATGTCTGTGCACATGGGTGAGCAGAGGGTACCATCTAGTTGATACACATAGCAACATAGCTATGGAAAATATCACCGTTTGCATCGGAAAATCATGGAACTAAATTGGCCATGGCTTCCAGGGTAATTGGCTTAAATCCCCCAAGAGTGGCCGTAGAATCCGTACCAGAATTTCCCATTGCTATCCCCATTTTTTGGCGACATTCCCGTCAGTCACCATAAAACACCAGAACATCGTATTAAATCCCATGAAATCCCATTAAATCACCATGAAATCCCATTAAATCACCATGAAATCCCATTAAATCACCATGAAATCCCATTAAATCACCATGAAATCCCATTAAATCACCATGAAATCCCATTAAATCACCATGACATCCCATTAAATCACCATGAAATCCCATAAAATCCCTGGAACACCAGGTGGCAGCAGCGTTCCCGCTGCTCCCAGCGCGGTCAACGAGACAGTGCACGTCGTGACGGCGGCGATGAAGCTACACAGCTCAGTGGTGTGGGGATGCCTAAGAACCGATGCTGGGAGGGATGGTTTTTTTGAGATCTTGATGTACCCTCTGGTAATTTAACATAACTATGGAAAATCACCATTTTTCATGGGTAAATCCACTATTTCTATGGCCATTTTCAATAGCTATTTTGACATAACCAGAGGGTATGGGTCAATACCTATAGATACCATTTTTAGTGGGTTATTCACATCCATAAATCCCAGCTATGACTTGGGGTGAACAAAGCACGGTACCAGGCTGCCATGACCCATTCCCCAGATCTTCTGACATTTTTTGATCTTCTTATAGACTTGAAAAGGGCTTTCAATGGCTTTTATTTTGATTATGGATCTGTTATGGATCTTGATATGGATCTTGATATGGTTTCAATCTGATGGACATGGACATATGGAGACTTGACGTGCTTAAATGTTTTTGTTGGTTTTGACATGGATGGGATGCTCCATGACACCGTTTTTTCGTCGTCGCGCAAGCTCATGGATTTCACCCACCCATGACTGGGAATGGTTGAAATCCCACCTCTATAACAAAATATTTATGGTGATGACTGGGGGATGGTAAAAATGGCATTGTTTTACCCACAGTAGATTTTACATGATGTCTCCTGTTAGAAGATGTATGATAAGGTTGGAATCTCGATATTGCAGACACGTGGCTTGATATTACGCAGGCAGATGTCCTTTTTGACTGATTTGTTGATCTATTGAAGGTTGAACATCTAAGAAGTACACTTTGCCCCCGAAACTGACGCCTGACATTTGGAATCATTGTTTTTGGGATGGTTCACTTACAAAGTCAAGTGACAAAGTGAAGTTTGATATGGGAAATAATCCAAAATAGCATTGAATCAAGTTCTGATTTCTTGAAATTGCACATTCTGTACAATTTACTATGTATAAATATGTATAAATATGTGTATAGAGATAGGTTGCATGATTGGAAAGACGGTTGAGGACATCTAGAATGACGGGGATGGATCTGGAAAAACCAACGAAGATTCGAATAGGGCCACTTCTCACAGCAAGAATGGGTAACCAAGTCCAACAGATGCTGGTTGAGTTTTTACGTAGGAAATCATAGTTGGCTCAACTTTTGAAATATATTCAGCTAGTTAGCAATGATGTTTCATCTTGTGTAAGGGGTGTCGAGCTGCCAAAATCAGCAAGGGCCATGTCACTTTTCTTAATCAGGACTTTTCTCCTAGAAGAAACACGTATGGTTTAGTGACCAGTTTAGTAAGTTTACTACAAAAACATATTCATGTATGTATTCATTCTGGTGATGTATTTTGCGTAAAGCAGTGATTGCTTTGTGATTTTCAGAAAGGTCAACGATCCCTGGTGGGGTTAGCACCAAATCATCGAGTCGTCATGGCGGATTCGTGAGGAACCTGCAATCCTGTGGCTGCGAAGCCTTGGCGGTCTTGTTTGGAAACCCAGGATGGGCCACTTTTCCATGGCATTTTCCCGATTATTTTTCGTAAAAGTGAAAAAACAAATAGTTCAAAAGAAGGGGGATTCGACCTGATTCAACCATGATTTATAAGAATCATTGATAGAAGGTATCTAAGATATCGTTGAGTTGGTTGATGATTAGTTCACGGAACGACCTACGCGGTATTGATTGGGGATCATCCCACGATTCGGCAAGCGGTGAGTAAGTGCAGTTAGTTCATCCAAAATAACCCTCTGGTTATGACATTCACAGTTCGCCATGGAAGCCATGGCCCTAATCGAAATAGATGGTTTACCGTTCTTAATAGCATGGTGGAGCTTTCCATGGCGAACTGTTAGTCATAACCAGATGGTAGGTATTACATAGGAAGAACATAGAATCTATGGAATATAGTAATACCTATGTTATATAGTTGATATATAGCCAGGAATCCAGGACTTAAAATCACCAAGGCTACTAAGTAGTTTCGATCTGTGGGATGATCCTCCAGAAATCGCAAGCCATAGAAATGGCGTGCCACGGTCAAGTTGCCATGGGATGAAATGCAATTGATATATCGTCATCCCAGCATCATCAATGGAATTCCATGAAAAACGCTATGTCAATGATGTAAACATCAAACATCATTTTTATTGTTCCATGGAATGTCTTGATGGGATGTATGAATTGGATCCCAAGATAGCTATTTCATCATGAAAATTGGTATGTAAAAAAGCCTACCCTCTGGTTATGTCAAAATAGCTATTGAAAATGACCATAGAAATAGTGGATTTTCCCATGAAAAATGGTGATTTTCCATAGCAAAATGTTAGTTTACCAGAGGGTAAAATGGATTGATGATTGATGACCATTCCTCCATGGATCCAATCGGCATGGCACAGCGGGAGCAGAGCTGCGCCTGATCTTCCTGGAGCTTTCCGAGGGAAATGGGGATATCCCAAGCGAGCTCACTGGATGGTTTAGTTCATGGAAAATCCTACTAAAATGGATGAGAAATGGGGGTACCCCCATTTTAGGAAAGCCTCATTTGTTTCTGTGAATTGTCTAATTTGGGTGGGGTTCAAATTGTAAGACTTAAACTCGTTCATGGCACATCCGTTTTGTTCTGTTGACCTATGGACTCATTTTGAAAAAGGCTCCAGAGACTCATCGGACATCTCTTACACTTTGACTATGTTTGTTTCATTCGTGTTTATTTGGGGAGAAGACCATTTTTGCTTTGCCCAAAAAACATGACATGTAAATAAGTAAATACATAGATAGATAAATCTATCTATTTATTTATTTATCAATCAATCAATCAATCAATCAATCAATCAATCTCTCTCTCTCTCTCTCTCGCTAATCAATCACTCTCTCTCTCTATATATATATATGTTATGTATCATATATCTACCTATCTATGTACCGATCTATCTTAATCTTGATCTTGACCTTAATCTTGGTCTTAACCTTAACCTTAGTCTTAATCTTAATCTTATCTAATCTAAATATAATCTATATAAGCTAATCTAAGCCATCTACTAATCTTTCTACTTATCGATCCTTTCTATCCTATCAGCGGGTTTAGCCTGCTTGCTCCTTCCACACAAATCACTTGATCGCGCAGTTGGCAAGATACCCCTTAATTATTTTCTGTTTCTTTTGATGAATTGCAACATTTTTTTTTGACGTGGTTGAGCGATGTGGGTATTGCTCAAACTTGGTTGCTCAAAGATCGATGGTTGAATGCGAAAGATAACCAACAAATGAGCAGTGTTTAAAACCGCTGTTGCTCGATGATGATTGGGGGTCATTCTACCCCATATATCGGAATCATCATTCATGAACTAAGAATCCCATTTAACAAACAATGGAATGACAGTGTTGAACACCTGGCTGAGGCTCACGACGTACAAGGCTGAGGAGGTTCAAAGGCAGGGTGACTGATCTGGTTGGAGCAGTGGTGGTTGCCATTTTCTTCATGTCCGTCCCTAGGCGAAAGCCAATCAGAATCATGTGCATCCAATTGGTGACTCCTCCAGTTGGTTTAATTCGTGTCTCCAAATGTGTTTTCCAAGGACTTGCAGCTGATCAGATTTTGTCACCAAAGTGTGAAATTGGGCAAAAAACCATCATGCAAAAGGGCTCTTTTTTTGCGAGCTTTTCTCTAGCCAGAATAGGTACCCATTTATTGCACGCAGAAAGTCGAAGGTTCCCCTCTGGAACTGAAAATTAGCAACCTATCCAGTGGTGGGAAGCGGCTCCGAGCTATGAATGTCTCCCTATGAACAATGGGGAGCCAGGAAGCTACGTTTGTTGAGTTTCCCAGCCAAGTTGTGCCATATAACTTGGCAGCCTTGGCACGTGAAGTGCCCATTTGTCCCATAAATAATCCATGTCAAGATCCACAAAAAAAGATCCATTGAACCACCAGAGCCAAACCATGCTCCAAGCCCGAGGTTTTTCTACAGGTTTTGACCATCCCACAGCCATTTTTCTCAGTCAGTAGCCCATAGAGAATCATAGTTTTGGTTATATGCAATTACATATTATGTTTATATGTATATATATATCCCGTTAAACCACCACTAAATTCAGCATTAATTATGATTGAATCCCTCTCATTGATTTAAATTATCATTGTTGACCTTAACATGTTCGATATCCCCATCATTATCATTATTTTCTTAACATTAATAGCAACCGTATAAAACGTTCTCCCAGAAGTAACATCAATATCAACATCAATATCAATATCAACATGGGAATGTTACTGGCTGATTAACAATAGTCATTAATGAAATGAACCACTGACGAACACTTCGAATAGTCATTGTCCTGCATGTTAACTCATTGTAAATAAAATGAATATCCAGGTTGATGAATGTACAATATTAACATCAACAGTCATCAACAGTCATTAATGCACAGTAACAATAGTTATTAATTGCTATTACCAGTCATTAATTCTCATTAACATCAATAGTCATTAAAGGCAATAGTAAGATAGTCATAATAGTGTTAATCAATATAGTTATTCAATATCAACATTCAAAAAAACTTACTGTTGATGTTAATTTACAAGTGTTATTTGAATAGTCAATAGTTGTAACAGTTATTGTCACAACAATCGCCACTTCAAAACACATTAATTCTTAATTCAATAGTGTTTTGAACAGGTTGATGAACTAATAGTTTTAACAATAGTTAATGAATTAATCCATCACTTGTCTTCAACATCTTCAATTCATCTATTGTCATATCTATTGTTCAGTCAAATGCGAACCAGTCTATTCAATTGGTCTAAATTACTATTGAATATAGACTTTGGACAATTAAAATTACTTTGAATATAGTCTAATTACTATTGTTATTAATTTTATGATAACTATTGCTGATATTTTTTTTAATGATTGTCATGACATCAACCAGCAATAGTTATTATAAAATTAACACTATTATTGTTGAAACTATTATTGTATTGTTATGACAATAACATCAACTCGTAACCATTTTTAATAGGTAGACCATCTATTTCGACTAGGGCCATCTATACCATGGCTGTGCTAGTCATAACCAGAGGGGTTAGGTATATAAATATCTATAAATGGTTTCACTATGGTTGATTAGGTAGATATAACTAACTATAGTTAAAAACTATGGTTTATCATCATATATCCTAATAAATTCCATTAAATCCCATTAAATCCCATTAAATCCCAACTGTTAATGGGGTTTTTCTTAACCAACTTCTTGAACTTCTCCAGCGAGGGGCCAGCTGTCACGGCTGTCACCGGACGTGCCGATGGAAGCGTTGGAGGTCGTGCTCCATGCGTTGAGGCAAAGGGCGGCTGGTTGAACCATGGGATTTCACCTGACTGAAACCATGTTTTTTTTTTTTTTTAATGGGAATCTAATGGGATTTAATGGGATTTTTATGGATTTTTTATGGGATTTAATGGGATTTAATGATAATTTAATGGTGATTTATTGGGATTAAATTGGATTTAATGGGATTTAGTAGGATATAATGGGATTTAATGGGATTTAATGGTGATTTAATGGGATTAAATTGGATTTAATGGGATTTATTAGGATATATGATGGTATACCCTCTGGTAATGACTAACAGTTCGCCATGGAAGCCATGGCCCATAGAAATAGATGATCAACTCCCAGCGAACGAAACCTCCATTTATGGTTGGGATTTTCCATGGCGAACTGTTAAATAACCAGATGGTAGGTATTACATAGGAATAACATAGAATCTATGGAATATAGTAATACCTATGTTATATAGTTGACATATAGTTGAATATAGTTGATAAAATTCAGGTAATGTGGTTAAAACAATGTCATAAACTACCCATGACTGGGAATGGTTGAAATCCCACCTATAAAAACGGTAATTTGGGGGATGGTTTATAATTGTTTTAACCACATTAGTTGAATATAATATAGTAACTAATGATATATGTTGATATAGTTGAATATAATATAGTAACTAGTTGAACATGATATAGTAACTAATAATATATTATAGTTGATATATGTTGATATATGACTAATGTTTTTCATGTATGATGTATGTTGATGATGCAATCCATAAGGGATGACTGGCGTGTCTGAAAATGGGGGATGCCGTTCTTTTTGCCGATTTAGTGGACAATATCATGACAATCCAAGGCTTTTCTGCATCTAAACACATCATAAGAAATCCACGATCCTGGTTTCCCAATGGATTTACCCTCTGGTAAACTAACAGTTTGCTATTGAAAATGGCCCATTTATAGTTGATTTACCCATTAAAACTGGTGATTTTCAATAGCTATGTTAAATTACCAGAGGGTAGGTCAGCCGGAGTTCCCAATGGATCCATCTTTCCAGAGGCTGCCAAGTCCATTGTTCTACGCTTCCCAGGCGCTTCCCCAACCAGTTCAAAGTGGTCGAGAAAGTTTGTGTCAAGCTTAGATCGCGAACGCTTCCCCATCGCCGCTTCCCCATAGCGGGACGATCCAGGAATGATGGGTTGTGACTTACAGTCGTCATCTATAATGTATGAGGTATCCCATCTATTACATGGGGGTTATCCCCAGTGAAGTGGGTTATAAAAAAAGTTATATAGTATAAACTATAACACATCTATAATATACAACTTATGTAACTATAACCCATGCAGAACTGGGGATATTCCATGAATGTGAGGTATAATATGATGAAATTAGCCACTTACTAAGCCGCATACACCCCTTGGTGCACCAGCCGGGGGTTGCACGTTTGATTTTTTTCAGCCGCGACCGCAGATTCGCCGGAAAATGGTAGTTATTTTCAGTAGGCTAGAATTATCTAACTGTTAATCTAACAGAATTAATATAGTTAGATGATTATATGTATATTAATATTAATGTTAATCTAACTAATATGATTCTAGTGTTAGATGATTCTAGTCAATTATCATTAAGAATAATCACAACTATAATCATCTCACTGTTACTAAATGGAGGATGTAAATTAATAGAATGTGGGGCATCACCAGAGGGCACCTTATTGGTGCCCCTTTTGATCACGGAGAATTCACCACTCTTCCAGTGATGGACTGGGGATGCTAACAGTGAAAGAACCCCTATTGATTTGCCAATCTAGTTTTATAAAGGGACTGGTGAAGGAGGGTTTATAATGGAGACGGTCGTCTTGCAGCTGAGAATGGCTTGGTATCGGTATCAGCAAGGATTTTTTGGAACCAGAACATACCCTTTGGTAAACTAACAGTTTGCTATGGACAGTCACCATCTTTAATAGGTAAATCAACTATTTCTATGGGCCATTTTCAATGTCGCAAACTGTGCAATTGCCAGAGGGTAGACGCGGGGATAGAACAAAGCCAAGAACGACCACATTCCAAATCCGAAACTCAATTATCCAACACCATTTGGGGTCTTATATTTCAGGGGTGTATATAATACATAGTTTAATACATAAACCTGGGCTGGCAGGCTACAGGTTTAGTTCCCTATTGAAGATGAGGATGTTCTATAGCTATGTTAAATCGCCGTGACATCGTCATTCTTCCTGATTCAGTCACCATATTTGATGGTGAAGCTAACCATTGTTGACCATGACACAGAGTAGGGTTCTCCACAAATGGAGGATATTCAATGTTCTGGTCATCATGATGAGGACAATGATGATCAACCATGAGATTTTGGGGTAGCCGAGATTTTGGGACATATACAAATATGTATACATATTGATGTATAATATGTGTATAAAAATACATGTATAATATACATATACAACTAAATATCTATAATATACACATATTGATTGTTAGTTACATATCCCCTGTCTATCCGCACTGGATCTTTCTCATCATATCCCCAATTTTTTCCCATAGAATGGCTGATTTTATTCAAGGTGAGGCCCCAAAAACTTGCTAAGTTGACTTATAACTTGGTTAATTGGTAGGATTTATGGGGGATAGAACTACAGGATGGTGCCCCCCAGTCCAGTTATAAGTTGGTTAAGTTCACCCAAACTTAATATAATGACATGTACCATACACCAACTTGTTCTTATAATATTATAGTAAATTATGTTCACCAACTTAGCAAACAATGGTTATACTATTAGCTATTCTTATTAAAATAGCTAATAGTTGTTATTATCATACACTATAGTTATTATTGGCCCATACACTATAATTAACTATACACTAATAGTTGGTGGGCCATACACTATAATTTGGCTCACCAACTGAGCAAAAACGAACCAATTCTTGGGCCCATCCAACGTTGACCGTTGCGCCCGAGTCATGGCCTTGCGGAGATTTCTGGAGCCGATCACGCGCGACCAGGCGGGCAAGCACGAAGATTTGTGTGGGTTCGCACCAAGGGTAGACATTGGGGTTCATGTTGCAACATGGGATTTAATGGGATTCAATGGGATTTAATGGGATTTAATGGGATTTAATGGGATTCAATGGGATTTAATGGGATTCAATGGGATTTAATGGGATTTAATGGGATTTAATGGGATTCAATGGGATTCAATGGGATTTAATGGGATTCAATGGGATTTAATGGGATTTAATGGGATTCAATGGGATTCAATGGGATTTAATGGGATTCAATGGGATTTAATGGGATTTATTCGCCTCTAGTAATTTGTTGCAGTTTGCGATTGAGGTTCTATTGCCCATTGAGTTCGTTGATTTACCCATTAAAGATGGTGATTTTCCAGTTCGCAAACTGTTAGTTTACCAGAGGGTAGAAATTGGGGTTAAAGACTCAACATGGGTTTCGACATTGTTTTGTTGGTTCAATCAACCAAACTTCATTTCATGATACCAAACATCATCATACATAAAACCATGTTTCTTGCTAAAAACCAACATATTTTACCTGTTTCCATGAGAGGAATTGGCCCAACTGTCTGACTCAAAACCCCTGGGCGATCGCGTTTTTTTCAGGAATGCCTTGATGCTGTAAAAAGGACGGTCGGCAGCCCCAGCACGTCGCATGCTGGCGCCTGCTGGCTGAGAGTTTTGCCACAATCATTTCGACCAACGTCGCAGGGGAGACGACCAGTAAAAATAGGTTGAAAGAGGTTGTAGCCTCCAATAATCAAACTCAAACAACCAAGCGAACATGAACGCTATGAGGATTTCGATATGTCGGGATTGGTTATAGACCTGGTATGTTTCCAACATGTCAAAAGGCGAACAGAATAGATTGGGTTGCGCTGTCCACCTGCAGATGTTTGGTTGATATTGCACCTGGAAAAGTTACCCTCTGGTAAACTAACAGTTTGCTATTGAAAATGGCCCATTTATAGTTGATTTTCCCATTAAAAATGGTGATTTTCCATAGTTATGTTAGTTTACCAGAGGCTATAAACGATCAGTCTGAACATTATCTGCAGCTGTACAGTATTTTGTTTGGCCATTAAAACCCATGGCATCTAATGGAGAAGTTGTGGCTTAAAATTTCAAGAACTTTTCTGAGTTAGAATGTATGCTGGAGTTGGACGGAAAAAGAATTACTCCAGCATCTGGAAATATGTGGAAAAGCATATGCTTAAAAATGGAATATTTATATATATATAATATCTCCCCGCAAATGCCTCTGCGCAGTAAATTATGACAAACCGCTGGTTTTTGGGGTATCCTATTTTTAGACAAAGCCATATGTTCTCTGGAATTTCGGAGCCAACAAGTTCAACTTGACCCGTCAATCCAGAGCTACACTTGGTAGCAAAAACATTTGGTGAAACGACGAAACGTCTCCCGACTATGGACCTGACCAATGTAGATTATTTCCCTAAGAACTGGAATGGCCCTTTTTAAGGGGTCTACTGGACGGACTTTTTTGTGGAGTGTGTTTGCTGTCTTATGTTGGAATATCATGATTCACCAGATTCACCAGTTGATTTGGGATATACCCAATATTTGAAGAAACACTGTATCTTGCGTTGACCTGTCTTGCACAGCCATCTCAAAGCTCAGGGGCGTAATTTTTTCGATCATACGTTCCAGCGACGGTTCAAAGCCCTAGCACCAGTCCTTCAAAGAACATGAACAAATCAACTTATTAAAACATTACCAAACATAACTTGGGTGCAGTTCCACTCAGAAGTGGCTTATACTCTCTGGTAATTTGTTACAGTTCGCGAACTGGAAAATGGCCCATTGAAATAGTTGATTTTCCCAGCTACATAGCATGGTGATTTTCCATAGTTATTTTCTATGTTTACCAGAGGGTATGATTCAAATGATCATGGTAATCCATTGTTATATCTACCATAAACCATAGAATTCAGCCACTTATACCCTCTGGTAAACTAACATAACTATGGAAAATCACCATTTTCAATGGGAAAATCCACTATAAATGGCCATGCTCAATAGCTATGTGAGTTTACCAGAGGGTATAAACCAACTGAACGCTATCGACTGGGGGCCCCATCCTGTATGATCATGGTCAATCCCCCGATTTTGGAGGTCAAGCTGCTTGGCGAGTCGGACGCTGCCCAGAAGCCCCAGCTTTCTCCCAGGCTTTCCATATGGATCGGACGTATCATGGCTATCTTAATACATTTTGATGATGAATATCATGGTACTTATTGCATATAATATAATATAATATAATACAATACTATATTATATAATATTACGGCCAGGCCCCTTGTGTTGCCCGGAGATTTACAGGGACGTTCCCGGCATGTTGATGATGATGATGATGATGATGATGATTGAAGATCTTCAATGAATGTAAGAGGTTAACGGAGTTGGGAGAATTAAACCCTTATTGAAGATCTTCAATGAATGGAAGAGCTTAACGGGGGTGGGAGAATTAAACCCTTATTGAAGATCTTCAATGAATGTAAGAGTTTAACGGGGGTGGGAGAATTAAACCCTTATTGAAGATCTTCAATGAATGAAGAGTTTAACGGGGGTGGGAGAATTAAACCCTTATTGAAGATCTTCAATGAATGTAAGAGTTTAACGGGGGTGGGAGAATTAAACCCTTATTGAAGATCTTCAATGAATGTAGAAGTTTAACGGGGGTGGGAGAATTTATATGAGATGTATAGTGTGAACAAAAAATCCTTGTAATTTACGCTATTCCGGCCTTGGGCAACACAAGGGGCCTGTGGGTAATATTATATTGTATTATATTATATTAATATATATATATGTATATAATTGGATTATATAACCAACAGTTGTGCCATGGTCAAGAGTTGGAGTGTATCTCCATTTTTTTTGTGGCTTCCGGCTATGGGATGGTTGTGCCTGGTAAGCAACAAACATGATTCCTAATAAGAACATATAACAACTGTAGGGTATGGGGAAATGATAATCATGATACCCTCTGGTAATTTAACAGTTCGCGAACTGGAAAATGGCCCATTTAAAAATAGTTGATTTACCTATTAAAATCATGGTGATGTTCCATAGTTTTTTTGTACGTTTACCAGGCCGGGTAAATCACAACAAATCCCATTAAACCACCATAAACCCTCGTTAAATCACCATTTTCCTCTGGTTTTCCTATGGTTTAATCCCTCCAAAATGGATGCTCTGAGACTCAACATCTTGGAAAAATCGCTGATGGACAAAGTCCAGCATGGGGATCATGGGGATGGATCCCATGGATCCCAGCTTGCTATGACGGGATCCCAAATCGCCCCCAAAAAAAGATGGAAAACCATAGGAAAACCATAGGAAAACCAGAGGAAAACCAGAGGAAAATGGTGATTTAATGAGGGTTTATGGTGGTTTAATGGGATTTATTGTGATTTACCCGGCCTGGTAAACGTACAAAAAAACTATGGAACATCACCATGCTATTAATAGGTAAATCAACTATTTCAATGGGCCATTTTCAATAGCAAACTGTGAATGTTTACCAGAGGGTACCACTATTTTGGTAGGACTGTTTTCAACTTTATCTTTTTTGGGGGTTACAAAAAAACCATGGGATGACCATCGAGGTCTTGCAGCTGAGAAAAGTCTTCCAGGACCCGCGGTTGATGGTGGGAAGTTGCCATTGGGGATGCAGCATCGAACTTGGAAATGAAACGTTGAACCGTTGGAACTTGGAACGTTTGAAAAATGGGGGGAGTTTTTGAGAATTACGACCTTGGACATGACGAACATGGCCATTAAACATATGGGGGAAAGATGACAATTTGAACCATTGGATGGAATGGTGTAGACTTTTTTGTGAACATACCCATATGCGTTTGTCATGGTTTTTGTCCAGAAATGGGATCTCTATTCCAGCAAAATTGCTGATTTCACGATGAAGATATCTCCGGGGGATTCCGGGGCATAAGTCCACAGTATGATCACGCGGGGGGTGGAAACGAACAACATTGGAGATACACCCTGCAAAAAGTGCAGATCTAGTTTCAAAAATGGGATCATTGGTGTAAAAAACACCAGTTTTTTGTGGTTCTCAAAGGTTTCAACCGTTGACTCCCACCTGGCAAAATACGGCCCATGCGAGGACTATCCAAAGGCGCAGCCGGACCTGCTAGAGTGCTTCGGCAAGCACCAATTCGAAATGTGGGACTAGGTGGTCCAAATGCAGTGGCTGGATAAATGTGGTTACCCCAAAAGCTGGTTTTTTTCTTTATTTTTTATTTCATGGAAAATCGGAAAATCCGAAATAAAAATGGATGATTTGGGGTAATTACCCCATTTCAGGAAACCTCCATATCCCTCTGTTTTCGATGTCAGAGCCATCCCATTTTTGGTGGTCTGTTTTCGGCGAAGCAGTCACGTTCCCTGAGGAATGCCTGCTTTGCGTTTGCCATGCTGGCTGGGATCGATGCACTGCTGAAAGAGGCCATAGTGATGTCTCGGGTGTCGGGTGGCAGGGTGATTGATGTGTTGCTGGTGAAAGAGATCATTCGTTGATCAAAAAAAAAGCGTGCCTTGCAATGTTGTTTTTTGATATTGGCTGCTACTGTACTGGCATCATATTTGTTTGTACAGTACAATCTTGTACATATTATCGTGTTTGTTGATCAAATTCTTGTGACAATCATGCTATCAGAATCAGCCAATTACGCTCATAGGGGTCAAAACATGTTAACACCTGTAAAGACACAAACTACAGTGAGACAGGGTTGCTCCAACTCATTCGGTTGGTCAATGATAGACACATTTGGTGGGTCAATGGCTCATTTTATCTCCATATTTGACCCCATTTTTGCCCCCCATTCGAGGCCACGGATGGAACGGTACAAATCAAGTCTGCTGCTGTGCAGGTGGGAGGAAGTCCCCGTACGGGCTTTTACACCGCGGAAAGTTCTTCGGGTAATAAGAACAGCTTAGCGTATCTATGGGATTCTAAGGGTTGGTATCCATAGTATATCTATGGATATCTATGGTTATTATTAATGCTTATCTATGGTTGTCTATTTAAGGGCTATCTAAGCGCAAGACACAGTGATATATGATTGTTAGGATCGTACTTCGCAACGGCCTCACTCAGCTGCGCAACGGCCAGATTGATGATCTACTTTCCGGTAAACTAAAAACAGTGGAGAATCACCATTTTGAATGGGTAAATCAACTATGAATGGTCATTTTCAATAGCAAAGTGTTGAATTACCATTTTGAGAATCAGCATTTTGAATAGGCAAATCATCTATGTTGGTTTACTGGATCTGGATGGCAAGAAGTGTTCGACAAACGTTGGCGAATTGGCAGTTCACAATCGTTCACTTTTTGCAGAATTTTTCATGATGCCATGAGTTAGTCCATGGCGTTTTTTCGGGAAAGCATGGTGCTCCTGGTTGTGACTGGTGAGGGTCAATTTTTCTAACGGCTGCTTCCCAGACCATCAGATGCAGGGTTTCACACTATTTCAAAGTGCACCTACTGGAAATCTAGGCCGGCACATATTTGGTCCCTTCACTTTTTCTGATCATTGATGAACTTCACCATGGCCATGAACCAGGCATTGATTGATGGCACCATATGTAGGGCCCATGTTTTTTGATCGGGGATTTGCCCAGCAAAAAATGTCCCCATGAAGGAAGGAGACTGAAATTCCCATTGACACCAACATCCACCAACCGGATTTGCTGAATCCTACAATGTAGTGAGTAAGTGGTTGACATCCTGGAGGTTATACAAGAAGCACGTATCCAAAAAGCCCCACTTTTTTAGCAACACCTTGGGGTAAATCCATCATTTCTGGATTACAAGTAAACTTCGTTGGTTGTAGTCCCCGTCTTTTTCAACATAGTTCAAGATACAGTGATGTGGTAAACCCAATAAATCTAACATTGATTTTGACCACCAACGGTTTATTACTGGCTTTACCACATGAACAAAAATCCCTATTTTCACAGCGGTCAGCCAGATCGAAATCGGCATGTTACGCCATCGGATTAAGTCACGGATTACGCCATGTTAAGTCCCCAATTTCTCTGTAAATTTCCTATTTAATTCATTATAAACCGCTATTTACAACATTTAAGTCACCAATAGTTAATTTCCTATTTAGTTCATTATAAACCAATTTACTTCATTATAAGTCACCAATTTTAAGTTGCGTTCATGAAATTCGCCCTGAAAAAATGTCGCTTTTCGAGGCGCTTTGTGACTTGTGCCGAAGCTTCGCAGAGCTTCAGCCGAAAGCGGTGGAGATTCGAAACTGTGCGGCAGGTGATCCGCTCCGGTGGTGCCGGTCGCGCGGTGGGGTAAGAACCAGATGAAATAGGCCAGTTATGGCCAGATGCATATGGAATATCCTTAGTGACATGGGATATCATTGATAATCATTGATAATCATTGATAATCATTGATAATCATTGATAATCATTGATAATCATTGATAATCATTGATAATCATTGATAATCATTGATAATCATTGATAATCATTGATAATCATTGATAATCATTGATAATCATTGATAATCATTGATAATCATTGATAATCATTGATAATCATTGATAATCATTGATAATCCAGATATAATATTGATTGTATATGGGATATCAGGTATATGGTTGTAATACAGTTATATGTGGCATTGTTTATAATTACCATATGATATGTATAACCAGATGATTAACCAGGTGGGGTATATGGAATGTCCTCAGTTGTATGGGATATCATTGAATGATGGTTGATGATTGATAATAAATTATGGTTAATTGGGATTTCACTAGGATATAAGATAATGTAAGTGATAAATCATGGTAGGTTGTTTGATGACCAGATGTAATGACCAGAGGAGTGTATATAACTAGTATGGTTTAATAATTCACAAGCCATGTAACTGATGATATGCCATATACAACTGGGATATTTCAGCCGAGAAGTGGCTGCTAAACCCTGGTTGATAATTGGTTCGGGGATTATAGAAACAAACATATTGGGGATGGTCACAATGGATTTTGGCACGTGACTAGTGGGCTATTACCTCATAACATGTAACAACCCCAGTTGTAGGCGAAGTAGGGGCTAGCTGTCTAGCTGCAACTGGGGTGAACAAAACCACCAAGTGATTCCTACCAAAATCGGGGTCCTCAAACATGGCTGGGAAATTTCCTGAAATGGAGGTTTTGATGGGGGAAAACCATCGAAGCAAATGGGGGACTTCAGGGACTTTCCATTGGTATCTTTGATTTTGTGAATCGGCTACCATCTGGTACTTGAGCAGTTTGCGAACTGGAACATGGCCCACAACTACTTCGATGATTTACCAGAAATGGATAGATTGTTTCGTATTGTCGTGTCTGATTACCGGAGGCTAATTCATGAGGCCATATTTCTTTGCTCTTGTTTGAAGGCATGCTCTTTGGGAGGCGTTCGAACCAACTTAGAAAAAGGCCTTGATTGGCCCCAATGATTCGTTTCGCGCATCAGTGATGGATTTACCGGCTCGAGCTCAGACATTTTGCTTTCAGTCTTTCAACAGTCAGTCTACCCTCTGGTAAACTAACATAGCTATTGAAAATCACCATTTTTCATGGGTAAATCCACTATAAATGGTGATTTTCAATAGCTATGTTAAATTACCAGAGGGTATGCTCTCAAACGGTTTCCTTAATTTTACTTTTTGATCTTTTTCTGTTTCGTTTTTTTGATTCGATATTTTTCCCTGCCATATCCTCAGGATTCACATGAGTTCTGTCAAAAACCCGGATTTGCGTTTTTGCAGGGTTTTGAGACATTGCTGTCCCCACCACTTTATTAGTATTCGTCTCAAGAAGCCGTCCTGCACCTAACTGCGGCTGTTGAAGTGCTTGTTGTTCAAATTTGATTGGCTCTGCGCAGTGAACGATAGAAGGAACCTTATATGTAGCTATCGTTTTTATTGACCCTGCGCATAGACCGATAACGAAAACCTTTTCATTACTTAAGATATCCGTGCTGATATTATTTAGCTGACCCTTCGCAAAGACCGATAACCAAAATCTCTGCATCCAATGCTGTCCTGATGGACATTTTGCATAGTGTTCTGCATGGTGTGGACTTTTTTTTGCGCTCTCAGCAAAACCGCCATTGTGGAAATTGTTCCTGGCTATTAACAGACTCGGTGAAACATATCGCTTGGTCCAGTATTTTCTTGCTGCTTGGTGGGTTCAAAAATCCGGTTTACCATCCACAAATTGAGAGTTTTACCAAATCTAGGACGAACTAAATGGTCCATGTTCCACAACAATGTTGAATTACCAGAGGCTCTACCATCATATATCCTAATCAATTTCATGAAAATTTAAGTCTCATTACATTCCCATTAAATCTCATTAAATCCTCATCAAAACTCACTGTTTTTGGTCTACCAACCCCAAATTCTCGCAGGTTTGGTGGCCTCAGAGGTGACCAGAGGCAGCGGTTTTTTACCAGAAAAAAGTCCATGGGATTTCCGATATTTTCAGCTACAGATATGGAGAAAATATGGTGGACACTGATGAATTTCCGGAAATGGATGCAGATTTCTGGTGGCTTTTTTTTGAACATGTTTTTTTACATGTTGAGAGGTGTTTTTGCTATACGTTTCAGTAGAGCAGATTAGGACATCCTAAACTTAGAGGTATACCACCAGATGATTGATCGGTTGTTGGTTTATTTGCGGATGAATATTTCCTATCCTGCCCAAGGTTCACATGTTTAAAGGACTATGAAAGTTAAGCCATGATTAAAAGTGCACGTTTCCGTGGTCCACCTGTTGCGGAAGATCTAGCTACGGAAAATGGCCCACTGAAATTGAGGTTTTGATGATTGACTCATTATTTTAAGGCTGATTTTCCAAACTGAGAAATTACCAGAGATTGGTGGACATATATGTATATAAATATATGCATACAATTATATATATATATATTGCCACTGGATGTAACCAGTGGGATTAATTCACAGAGGCGGAACCCAACCTCGACTAGTCTTGTCATTGGCGCTCTGTTGGTTGGGGTTTTTATCCGTGAAAACAACTGGCGGAACCCAACCCCCACGATGCTTAAGAGGAGGCCTCATCCCATCAATTGATCGTAACACTTGGGATTATGATTTCAATTACCCGGCCTGGTAAACGATGACGTAACGAACTGGAAAGATCCACCATGCTATGTAGCTGGGTAAATCCACTATTTCGACTGGGCCATTTTCAATAGCAAACTGTGAATGTTTTCCAGGCCGGGTAGGTTAGTCTGAGAATAGGTTATCCCCATCACAAAGCATCTGTCTGATCACCAATATCTTCGTTTGTCAATTCAATGCTCAAAGTGTGCATCCCCCATTTTTAGACACACCCAAATATTGATGTTCGCAGATGCCGTGGTTATTTTTTCCTATTCCAGATGCGCTGTGTATGGAATATGATGGAATATCATGGAAGATGATGGAAGATTATGGAATCTTGACCAACATTTAGCCCAAACATGAGCCAAGTGTGCTAACGTATGCACCCCCAAAAAGATAGAACACTAGAATCCTCCTGAACTATTGGGTGAGTTACCGCGAAATATATCAAACAAAAAGCACTGGGGTATATATGTATGTGTATCTATATGGAACATGTATATATATATATATTTAACCCTCTGGCAATTACATTCACAGTTTGCGAACTGGAAGCCATGGCCCAGTCGAAAAATAGTGGATTTACCCAGCTACATAGCATGGTGGATCTTTCCATAGCCGGGTATTGGTTCTTCAACGCTCCTGACATGTCCAAAAAATCGCCAGGACGCGAGGGTGAGATGGGTCAACAGGCGCCTTAAAATGGTGGGAGTTGACGCTCTACAGGATGGTGCCCCCCAGGCAGATGTTTGTTGGTTGAGAAAACCCCATCTAAATATAGTTATTTGCGTATCATACACTATTGTTATTATAGTTACCCTCTGGTAATTTAACATAGCTATGGAAAATCACCATTTTTAATGGGAAAATCCACTATTAATGGCCATTTTCAGTAGCCATGTTAGTTTACCAGAGGGTATGTTCACCAACTTAGCTATCGAACTGGGGCCCCATCCTCTAGTGATATGTTGGGAAAGTACTACAAATCAGGGCTACAGTGGATGGGACTAACGCGAAATCCGAATCACCAGTTGAAAATGGTGGTAAACATCCCATTATTCATAGGGTTATGCGTGGTGCAGGATTTCTTCCATCCACAGTATGGTAAGACATCTTTGATTGTGAGACTATGAACTGGAAGAAGTACCCTCTGGCAATTTAACAGGTTGCCATTGAAAATTGCACATTTATAGTTGATTTACCTTTTTCAGATGGTGATTTTCCAGTTCGCAAGCTGTTAGTTTTCCGGAGGGTACGAACGTTGGTTGATGTGTCTTCTCGTCGTAGGTGGCTACGAGAGACTACCTCATATTAGAGACCAAATGGATGGCTGGAGCTGAAAGAATGGTGCATTGGAACCTCCAAAAATGGTACCCTCTGGTAATGCAACGCGGCAATGAAACTTCTCCATTCGCAGATTTACATGATTTATCAGTTGACAAATTGGTAAGGTCCCGCTTTCTAGTGACATCCCAGTTGAAAGTGAATACATACAACTAAGCCCCACAAACATATATGAATTTGCATTTTAGCGGAGAAAAACAGTGAATTTTCATAGTTTTGGGTATCAATGGTAGTGATCAACGGGCTCTGTGACCTCTGTGACAGCCATAAGATGGAACTAAATAATCAGCGGTGAGACGGTTGTTTTTGCTAGTAGGAAATGACAATTTGTTAGCTTCCATCTGAGATACCCGGCCTGGTAAACGTTTACATAACTATGGAAAATCACCATGCTAGTAATGGGCAAATCCACTATTTCTATGGCCATTTTCAATAGCCATGTTAGTTTACCAGAGGGTATCTGAGAATTCAAGGATGATTGCAATAGATTTGAATAACCGATGGATGTCCACGACCATGGGCTGCGTTGTGCCACTTCATCATTGACCATGTCCATGACCCCCCAACTGCAACTGTTGTATTTGTTGTTTTACCATGAACATATGGCTATGGATCAGACAATAGCTATATCTTATATGCATACAGATACCAATACATATATATATATATTATAGGTTTTATCTCCATGCTATGGATCAATTCCTATAAATACCATTAGGTCAATGGGAAATTCCAGGATCCTAAAATGGAGGTACGTTAGTACCATATAAGGCCATATTTTCTGGGGATATTCCCTAAAAAATAGGCCTCAAACATAGGCCAAAAATATATGGAATCGGTACCTCCAATCAATCGGATCCTGGAGATCTCCCATTGATACAATGGCTATGTTAACATACAGTAGATGTGTTTATCAACTATTAGATGGATCAATACCTATACCATCTGGTTATTTAACATAGCCATGGTAGCCATGGCCCATTTATAGATGGTTTACCTGGCTTTACCTATTAAACATGGTCATTTTCCATGGCTATGTGAAATAACCAGAGGGTAAATACCATTAGGGATGAAGATCCAGAACTCGCCAACAAATCCCAGCGAGGTGGTGGAATTGCAGCGCCGCTACGAGATGCTCACAGGGCTGCCGGGGGACTCAGGAGCTGAACTCGCTGGGGATGGGATATAAAAAATGACCTGTAGCTCCTCTGTTCACATCATAAAATCACTGGGATTTATGAGGATTTATGATATGGCAACAGATTATGTTAGGATATATATATATAATGATATTTATGATATTTATTAGGATCTTACTGGGATTTTATGGTTATGTTCATCCCTGAGAGTTATGGTATTCATAAGTATATTTCTCCATGGCCGGAGATAAAACAGACGTTTTTGATATATTTGAATCTGTATGCATATAACATATCCATATATATATATATACCTCTCAGAGTCCCAGCAATTCAGATCTGGTTCAATTTTGATGATCGAAACACATGTGCGGTCAAAAGATGGATGGTATACTCAGATTGGAGGATATCAATCCATTTTTATAGTGATTTACCCTCTGGTAATGACTAACAGTTTGTTATTGAACATGGCCCATAGAAATAGTTGATTTACCTACTAAAAGTTGTGATTTTCCAGCGCAAACTGTAAACGTTTACCAGAGGCTTTTTCCCCCAACCCAGGATGGGCTCGTTCAGCAATGTTCAGCATCCAATTTCAGGCAATTTATTTTTCACATTTTAAAGACATGACACTCATATGGGGGTTTCCTGAAATGGGGATATCCCAATAGCTGGATGGTTTATTTCATGGAAAATCCGACTAAAATGGATGATATGGGGGTTTCCCCATTTTTGGAAACCTCCATATTTTTAACCACTGGAACTGTTTGCTCTATTTTCAGAGAAACCCACCTGAAGTACCTGAAGCTATGGAAATGGTGGGCACATGGTTGGGAAAGGGTTGATCAAGGAACCCTGCGCAATGTGAGTTCAGTGCTACTCAGCTAGTCTAGAAGTTGAACTGAACAGACTTGAAGCTGTTAGGGGGAGCAGCTAGCACACCTGTAGTTGACAAACCCGTAGCGAGGCCCGGTTCCCCACCAAGAGTGGTGATGAAACAGAAATTCCAAGGTGGAGTATACCGTATAGAACCACTAGAAAAGATTGTAAAAACCAATTATGAAACCATAGCAAGAAAATGCCGAGACATCATTCATCACCATTTCTTACCCGGAAGGAACTCTGAAGACGCTTTGGATTCAGTTCCCCAGAAGATAAAGGATGATTCTTTGAACGAGAAAGGATGAACCATTAATCATCCTAAAAAAGCACCCAAATAAGAAAGAGTTCTGAGCCAGTTCCTGAACGTGAACGAACTGTACCGGAGTGTATCAGGCTTTGATTGAGTGGTCCTTCAACGAGAACATGTAGGAAAATGTAGGAAGATAATCCCACATTCTCAAAAATAAACTGGTGCTCCTCTCCAGTAAACTACTATAACAGTTTGCGATCTGGAAGCTCATCTACCCTATGGTAAACTAACATAACTATGGAAAATAACAATTTTTAATGGGAAAACTCACTATTTCTATGGCCATTTTCAATAGCTATTTTGACATAACCAGAGGGGGACTGTCCAGTGGCAAAGTGCTAAATTACAAGAGGGAATCTTGACGCTGGATGAAACCTCTGAGTGGCTGGGATGGGTTGAAGGAGTTGGCTCAGTGGTTTGGGTGGTTTGGGTCATGGGTTTCTTTTCATAGCCATCAACGGATTGAGGAATTGAGGAATATATTTGTGGTATATATATATATATGCTTATAACATATACAACGGGTATTCACCAATTTCGTGAAATTACCCCATGGTTTATCGGCTAAAAAAAAAGATTAACCAAGATTTAGACATATATGTTTTGTGTAACCACTCAACCACATATGTAACCACTTGAAAAATATTGGCCTGTCCAGCATTGCTGCTAGGCTGCGCTGAGCGAGGCAGACAGCTAGGTTGAAGGGTTGTTTTTGGTGCGTAGGATAAATTGTCAAACCACTGGCAGAATGTAGGGATAGATTGGATAGATCAAAGTGTGTTGTACCCTATTTGAGGGGGATAAACAGCCCTTTACCAGCTATTTTGGTGTGAAAACACGTGAGCAGCTGTGTTTTGAATGGCTTTGACTCATAGGGAGACTATGGGCTATTTATATATCGACAGGAAACGATCCTTGTTGGCCTTTTGGTTGTGATCCAGGTAACTGAGAAGATGACCGGTGTCATCAAGCATGGCTAGCTGGAAAATCCGCGAACTAAATGGGCATTTGAATGGACACATAATCTATAGATGGGGAATTTTGCATTGCCATATATTGCCATGCTTGATTACCAGAGGGTACAAAAACTACGCGGTAATTTCACTTTGCGAACCATACCCTTAGGCTAACAAAGGTACTGGTAGTTCATTGTGTTGTGAAAATCAACCCTTCACTTTGGCGAAACACGCGGTCAGACTGTTCATGTGTTCATTTGGTGAACGCCAAAGAGGGCTTTGTGATCGTGAAAAAAAATCGTGGACGTCTGTGACCCAACATTGAGTTGACCATGACATGACATGCTTGGACGGCCGTTGGGGACTTGGGGGGTGTGCGAAGCACCCTGCCTGCAATACCTTTGACTCAGGGTATCGAATTCGTGGATGATTAATGCAACCTTGGGTACTAAGTTCTAAGCAGAAGGAAGTAAGCTATGCAGTGACAATGGGCACGAACCACATCCAGCTAGTTTTCTGACTTGAGGCTCGAGACTTGTAGTCTGTTGGCCAAACTGTCTCATGATTCCAATATCACTCTGATGTTTGCTGCGGCACCATCGATTTTCGGCGTTTCATCAGCATACAGTAATCCAATCAGGACAGGATCATGGGCCATGACACCACAAGCGGTGATCCATTCACCAAGAAACTGAAATGGAATTCTCAACTGATGGCTTTTGGCAGATGATTCTTGTGATTGAAGAAGAAGCATTCGGAACTCGGAATACCCATTCTTGTCACATGTTGTTCGGGTTCCGTGTTGAATTTGCGCAGTGTTTTTCACCAGCCAGAACACCACTTGAACCTTGATTCATCAATAATGGCCCGACAATTCAGTTGTTTTCTTTTGAACTCACGCTTAGGGATACCAAATATTCCGGACCATGATAAGATGTTTCTTTCATCACACATGAACATGGGATTCATGGATCTATCAATTGTCAATATTTCTCCAGATCCGCATGAATTTGCTGTAATTGATGATGTGTGAATAAGATAGGTTATTGTGATCAAAAAGTAATTGCTGTATATATATATATTATATATATATGCATATCGCCAATTATCACATACCCATTGGTTATGGATCCATTGATCCATTGGTATAACCACAACCTGACACCAACTCTCAGCAAGCCACCACTTGCGCCATGACGTCATGACGTCGACACAGGTGCGTAAAGCGATGGGATGTTGTTCCGTTAGTTTCGCCGATGTTTTGATGTGAAGGATACCTATGGCAAGGCTGCCAGAAGATATACCTATGGTGGAGAACTGTAAGATTTTTATAGTGGATAAATAAATAAATATATATATATGTATACATATGTATAACATATCTGTAGGGGATATGTCCATGGCGGATACATCTCTATAGTGGATGTATCTATAGTTATAATCTGGTTTCCAAAGCCATTCATTCTTTCTATACGATTATATATTTATATACATATAATATATCCACTATACACCCTGGTAAAGCTAGAAAACAACTCAAGTAAGTATGGAGCACCACCTTGTGTGCGGAAACTATAGGAATCTCCTGGAATCTCTGGGTTTGTGCTGTATACCCCTAACATTTATGATAGGGAAAATGATGATGACACATGGTATTTGGGTATGATATTTTCAGACAAACCCTGACCACGGCCCACATTTCCATTTTTTTTCGGACTCTGAACGTTAGTTTGATACTTTTTGGTGGTTCAATAGCTGTTGCCACCCCAAGAAAATGATGGAAAGGCGCGGACTCATGAACTAATGTTGAGACACAAAAAAAGGCGACTTGCAATATGAAATTGTAATTATGATTCCGAAGCGATGTCTAGGTCCCCTGTCTCAAACCCTAAAACCTTGAACACCTAAAAGTGATGTTGGGCATAACGGGATGATGGTCCCCAATCGGGAGATTGTTTTTTGGGTGGCTCAACCAGCTATAAGTTCGTTTACAAGGCCACGGAACGATAAGTCTGCCATAAACCTATCGAATTATAGATATATCCTGATATATCTACCATATATCTACCATAAACTTTCCGAAACTGTGCCATTGTCAATAGTTGGAACATTCTACACCCTTTGGAATGGTTAAAACCCAATTGGTCCATTCGGAATCGATCTACCAACGGGATGATCCTGATGCAGTGTCCATGATATTCCGGGGAGATTCAACCGTGATGTTCCCATGAAACCCCCAGTGAAATGGAGCTTTCCAATCCATGGTACCCCAAATCATAGCAAAATCAACCAATGACTTAGGGTTGAAACTTTTGGTGACTTGATTAACCCACTATTATCCAAAAAAAAATATACATCCCTATGAAACCATCTCAAATCCATGGTGACTCGGGGATCCCCCATGACTAAAAAAACGACCAAATCACCATTGATTTCTCAGATATTCCCATTATATTCCCATGATATTCCCGTGGTATTGACGTGATATATATATATATATACACATACATACATACATTGCCATTAAATCTCATTCATTTCCACTAAAATCATTATCAAATCCCCATTGAGTCACCATTTTCCTACTAAATCACCAATAACTAGAGATCACTAGGACGCCACCGATGCCGACGCGAACGCCGTCTCGGCCACCGGCACGGCCGGCACGGTGTCGGCGGCCGGCACGGGACGCACCGTGCGGACGCCCCGGGACGGCGGCTGCTTTTTGTTTTTGGCCACGGATGGGTCCGGATGAAAATGGGTCGTTAAGCTGGAAACCATTGGATTATACATATATATATAATGTCAACCCTGGATTAATAAACCCCTAGGCTGTTTAATTGGGGGGGTACCATTTATGTACCATATTGTGACTATTTGGAGGGTACCCCCTAATTAATAAACCATGGTTTATTAATCCGGGGTTGACATTATATATATATACTAGCCTCTGGTTTTCGTTGATGTGCGCAGATGACAGCAGCTGATAGCATATGATGGCTATTGCTTTGGGCCCTAATGTGTTCACAGGAAAACTGTACGCAGAGCAGTTCACATTTGCAAAGAGATCTGTGCGAGCACCCTGCGGTTGTTGCCCGCCACTGCAGTGGCGGGACGTGTCAGTTTTTTGAGGCGGTTTGATCGAAAACACAAACATGGACTATGGACTTGGAGGATTTCTTTCGCAAAAACCGTTCAATTCCAAACATGGACGAGCCAAAGAACACCACAACAGGAGAAACAGGAGGCTAGTATTAGTATATATATACACAATTTATGATATATGTAATATATATATATACATTCATTTTCAGAGATGGAATTTACCACCATTTTTTAGATATTTATAACACTTTAATAGGAAACATGGTCTCTCCTTGATGGCTTCTATATTTTTTCTTTGACACCCTGTATAGTTCGATCCTTAAATGAGATGGATATGTGTATGTACAAACAACCAACGCACATGTTGTTGCCTGGATCAGCAACAATTTTCGCCACCAATAGAATATCACAGGCAGATTTCTGGGGAGTTGATGGAAAATATAGAACCAATGATATGGTCTGTGCTTTCGGTTGCTTTTCTTAGTGATTAATTAATGACGACCATTTTTTCTCGCTCTGAGATGAGAGATAACAATGATTGGAACATGTGGAGATAAGACCTGAAAAGCAGACATGTTTGAATTTGGACATTGATATTTTTTTGAACATGTGGAGATCCAAAATGAACGCATTTTGGAATGTGTTTTCCAAACACAAATTGTTTGTTGAATTTTAAGTGAGTGTTCATTTTCAAAAAGTCATGAACATCATGATATTTAACCAACAACCTAGGAAAATTGCCATGAATATGTTTTGGGATGATTTCGACATTTGTTTCAGCGATTACCAGCCTGTTGGGTCGTGGAAGATACAACTTTGGTTTTCCGCGTGGTGGCATGTGTGTAGACCCCATCTTTGGTCACCGCATCAAAGTGACACATAAATTTTACCATAGAAACATGATTGATTGGTAGCATCTCCAGATTGGTTTGTTGAGGAAAATCTGTGCGAAACACACACACACATACATATATATATGTATACACATGTATACATATATATATATGAGTTAAAAAACAAAGGTTTCCGATTCCGATTTCCCATAAAAAACAATCCATTGCTAGCCTGAGATCACGGTGACCTGTGACACCTAGGACTATGCCAAACAACACCATGATGCTTTTAGGCTGGCTCGGGCAAGGTGTGATCCGTTCAGGATCGGATCCCTCTGTTTGTGGTCGTGGGCTGAACTTACCAAACACTTGATTTATGGTGATAAAACACCCCTTTTCCCCAATTTTTGTGGCATAAAACACCCAATGAAGAGAAACACAAACCCTTTTGGGTTTGGATTTAGTTTGGGGTCCCATTGAAGGTTTGGCCCAAGCTGAGACAGCCGAACAACGTCACTGGAACAGTGATATCCCGATGTTTGGTGGTTGGATTCCTGTTTTTGTGTGCAGATCTCCGCCAGTAAATGGAGGTTTTTCAGTATTCTCCGGTTTTGCTGCTTAGTTGGTATGTTGATGTATATATGTTGTATCCCCCATTGCTACGTCGTTGTTCTCCTCATTGTTTGGTTTATGTCGGAGCCGCAGGGTGGTGTCCAAAGCGCATCGGAGGGAGAGAATCGCTGGGCATCGGGAGTTAGGCGCCATGTGGGGGTTTCCATAGTCATGGGGGATCCCCAATAGCTGGTTGGTTTATAGTGGAAAATCCGAA